GTCGTTATTGCTTAGTGGCAACACTGAAGGGCAATGGGTAAGCAATTTGGTACACAGCTGTGTGTATTGAGGTGGTTAAGACTTTTTTGTTTTGAGGGTGAACACATTTAAAATACCAAAACCCAAAAGCAAATATAACATATTGTAACTTATCAGTCATTGGATCTGGTGACTGCATTAGTTCTTTTACCCTTTGTCACCTGCAGTGACCACCACAATTCCTGCCCCTTCGTGTCTGCATATACACGACTAGCAATTTAACATAGGAAAAAAAAATTGATTACATTTAATATGTAGCATTTCCGGCGCCTAGTCATAAATGGAAAATAATTCACAGACATGGGTGCAAGGACTGTTTATTGATCATTTTATTAATGACAAACATGATTAAAACAAATCAAAGGGAGAGGGAAAAACAAAAAGAAAAGACTGTGCTAGCACAAGCATTCCTGGGTACCTAAAATCCAGAATAACTGCTACAGGAAAACAGAAATCTAGCTAGCTGATGGTGTCAACTCAGTGAGATCATGTTAAAACATTCACCAATATACTGGACTTCTATGCAGGAAATTTATCTAGATACACATCTATTTAAACTAGTTAGAATGCAGTGCAAGGTAAGGGGGGAAAAAAAAAATTAAAAAGAGCCCTTCGGCAACATTTAGAAAATAAAAAGAGTCCGTATCTTGCAGGAAGGAAGGTGGCCAGAGTCATGTTTAGCGTGCACAAAAAATGCAGCGACAACAGACTGTTTTGATCAGTGACAACACGGTTCAGAATAGGCACCCCACGGAAATATTATCAAACAGTATATTAACTGAACAGGTTTATATTGTACATCAGCCAAACTGAATCAAACAAAATACAGTAGAACTTATAGTTTAAGAAAAAAATGCTTAAAATGCTAGGAGGAAAAATAGTAAACAGGGTATGCTAGCATGAAAAAGAGTAACTTTGTTTGCAAAATCTTAAACTGCATTTAGAAATATTTTTTGTTTTACTCAGGTTGTTTGTGCCAGTGATAGCAGGGCAAATAAATGTAGCCACCTTTTTTTTTAAATAAATCCTTAAACTAATTATATGGATTTCTACAAAGCCAAACAAATTGATTGTTTTGCTCTCTTAAAACAACTTAAACTGTGTGCACTGGAGCTGAACGGACAGAGGGCTTGTCTGCTCTGTACTGACCCAAGGCCAAGTCCATTCACGCTCAGCCTCACTAAAAGCACCAGATGTGCTTCCAGTCATACAGTGACTGTAGACCACCTTCCATACTGCCTGCATTCCTGTTTGCTTTTCAACCAGTTTCAAAATCTATTGCAAAGAACTTGACTTTCAAACCTATATAATCCCCAGTTTCCACTACTAGATCCATTTCTGGGAGGGGAAGTTGTAGCAGGCTAGCTTGTCTTTCCTTGACAGGTGGGTGCCGAAGGGCAGAGGAAACCTGTCCCTTTTTCAAAGCATACAATTTGCCTAAATGATTTATTTTATTTTGTGAAGTACAGTCCAGACAGTAGCCAATCAAAGCATACAGAAAACACTGAAAAAACCCCTCTCCTTATGGGAGTTTGTATACTCCTTTGCTCTACTACACTGCTTTAGGAAAGAGAGGCTAGTCATCAAGTCATTTACTGCATCTTAAATCTGAAAGTCCTTGTTTGTGGCAACTAGCCACAACATTAACCACAATGTCTTGCAGTACTCAGGTCACCCGCAACCAGCAGTTAAAAATAAATAAATATCCAGCACTTTTTTTCTCTAGAAGTTTTGTTAAAACCATCTAAGAGATCTAGAACCTTCAGGTAGAGGGGAATGGTGGAGACCATAAGTTTCCCAGTGAACGCCAGTTTGAAAATCAAACCTACATCTCAAAGTTGACCTTGTTAGCTGGTAATACTGCAGTATGTTCTGAACAATCTAGAAGGGATGCCGTTTATACTTAAAACAGACTTGCATGAGTATGTAAAAACACAAACAAAACAACTCTGAGATAAGGAACTGTTTTCTGCCAGCTTTGATGAGATGGTGCTCTCAAGGAACACACATGAACTAGCTGGAAAAAGTAAAAGCGGATTTCCCCAGCCCGTGACCAAGTTATGGTGGGCTAGAGGTCTAGATTGCTGTTCCAATGTGAGTAGCAGCATCTTGATGGCAATGGTTCCTCCCATTTACTACCTATTCCGTTGAATTGTATGTGGCTCCTCTGATGTTCAGCCACTTCTCCTATCGTTCTCCTCGCCTCAGTGTGCTTGCAGTGATCTCGCTTGCTGTCGCTCTCTCGATATTTTTTGTATTTAATCCCTCTCTCGTTCCTCTCTCTCCTGTTGCTCTCACAGTGGTGCTTCAATTTTAGCAGTGGAAAACAGGTATCCGTTTTATTTTTTTATTACTCAGAATAAAATGTGGATGAACTAAGTTCCACACAGGCTTAGCTCTTCTTCAACCTGTACGGAGAGAAAAAAAAAAAACTTAAATAGATTATTCAAACAGATACTCAATAATATTCTTCTGCATTGACACCAAAAAGACACAGGACTGCCATTGCTGACCTCCTAAAAGTGCTAGTTGCATTTTTTGCATCTCTGATGTGGAATTCAGATCAGGTGCTCTGATTTGCTTCATATTTGTTCTAGGTCAGTGACTGAGAAACTACTGAAGCCAGAGGCATCCAGACAACTAGCAGGTCTACCTTCATATAGCAGCCAACTGCTGATGAAATTAGGCCTTCTCACATTACAGCTTAATGGAAGTGGGCAAAAGCACAAACAACTGTAGAGAAATTATGGCAGAGTTTCAACAGTAAAAAGGAAGCTAATAATTCAATGAGTACCCACTCAAAACATATTAGTATTGGGTAGAGATGAATTTTAAGGAAAACAACTAATTTTAATAAAAACACAACTTTCTCAACTACTTACACATTAGTACTGTGACAGCCCAGTCACACCTCCATGTTGATATGCACGTTCACCCTGGTAAGTAGAATCTTGCGATAATGCAACATCAATCTGTGACTTAAATTCATCACCAAGGTAGCTATCCTAAAATAGAAGCATGAATGTTTGGTTTTAAAATTTAAAAATTAACTCCACTTACAAAATATCTTATAATATAGCATATATAATTGTGGCACAAGCCATTTTCGAAAATGTAATATTAAAAATTACCTTTCCACTTAAAACTGTAGCTGCTGTAATGTTCTAAATTTGTAAAAAAAAAAGAAATCCAATGCAATATGGCAGACTGGAGTTGTTCTGTACACAGTTGGTGTACAGAAGGCCCCTGGAAATGTCACTTCCTGCTACTGTGATAGTGCAGACTTCTGGGAAAATCAGTCAGCCAAAGTACAATGTTAGGCATCCCTTGCAATAGAAATGTCATTTTTGGTGAGATACCTTTCCCCATTACTACACAGAAAGACAATCAGCTGGTTATAGCGAACCCTCCCATTCAGGGATCAGTTTGGAAAGGACATGCATTAAAACAAATGTAGTTCTTCAGAACAGAAACAGGTAGGAAACTGCAACAAAGTTGGTTAAAATCGTTGTAACGCAACCAGATCACCCAGAAAGGATTGATTTCTTCTTAACAAAAGTGAAATTACTCTATGAGCTTAACAAAATTACAATAGACAGCATTTTTGTTGAGAGCAGAGTCTAGGTAGTATTCACCACTGCATGCAAGGTGTAGTATGTGGTATGTCCTTGTAAAAACAATACATTTAAACAAGAAAATTGGCAATTATGCGTATACAGAATCTGCAAACACTGGCAACTAAACGTGCTGCTGTATTGTCTGAAAACATTGACAAAAAAAAGAATTTAAAACTATCATTCCGATAGAAAATTTAAAAAAGTGCCGGTTAAAATACTTTCTGAATGCACTATATTATAGAATATTACAAAGTGGGTTGCTAAGGGCAATATGTTCAGTGATTTTTTTTTTTAACTCCATTATTTAAATATATTAGAGGACAGGACGAGGGAGGAAGAGAAAATTTACCTGCGATAATTCTGGTTGGGAGAGTCCTGGTTGACTCATTTGCGAAGGCTGGCTCATGGATATATAACCCTGTGTTAAAGGGCCTTGAGAGAATGGCTGAGACACAACATCTTGACTGGCTTGGCTGTTGGGCATGTTTCCCTGGCTCATGCCTTGAAGCCCTATGCCTCTCGGTTTCTGGCGTCCACCACGTGTTGCCTTTCCTTTAGGCATGCCTCGACCTGGGGGGAAGAAAAAGAAAAATGTACAAAGCTCTATAAATAACTAAAAGGTGTGTGTGTGTGTATATATATATTTAAAGCAAATATGACTTTTTCAAAAAAAGGCAGGTGGAGGAGATCTGCCTTTTTAAAAAATAGTCATGTGACGAAACGCGTCAAAAGGGCAGATTTGTTTGACACATGGGATGTGTCCGTTGCTTTTTTTGAGAGTTTTTATCCATTGTCCGGCCGGCTGACGGCTTTTAAACTTCTATGTGAGTTGCTATTTTTAATAAATATTATTGTATTTTGTACTGCACCATGAGGGTTGTTTCTTTTCTTCCAAATCAATAAAAACATCCCCAAGATTTGGAGAGAGGGACCGCTGAACCGTGCACAGGAGAGCCGTTACTAGCTCGGAAGGACAGCTGAGAAAAGCTGCAGTGCTGAGGGAGAGAGACGTCTCCTGATTTACATTAATGAGACCAAATGCAGTCTTTTTGTGGTTAAATTATACACTTCCTTGGAGTTTAGTTTATCCTTATCTAGCTTATATATATATATATATATATATATACACACACACACACACCCCTTAAATGGCTAGACACTATATGTTAACATTCTTATCTTAAGTGAAATGAAATATTTAACGTATAAGATAGTGGCTGAGGAGTTCCACTAACAGAGGAATTTTTTTTGTAATTATTATTATGGAAACCCAGTTATTATTGAAAATACATTCCATGACCAAAACATACCTGCAGTTGGTCCATTAGCTTGACCAAAGTAGCCTGGTGGGGGCATTGGAGGCATGACCAGATTGAAAGGTATAGGAATGTTCATGGTAGGTAGCCCATGGCTGGGTCCAGAACTGATCATGCCTATCTGATCATGCGTTTGAAAGTACATGTTTGAAGGTCGAGCTTAAAAAGTAAAGAAACATGTGTGAACATTTGTGATATTCTTTTAAAAGGTTTAACATCTTAGACCCTGCTTTTTCCACTTGCTATGCTAAATAAAAGAAGATCTGGGCTCTCACCATATAGCCTTTTTGCACTGCATTCATTGTGGGTATACCTGCCTATAGGAAGTTGGTCACTAACAACTTTGCTGCTGTACTATAGGATATAACCGTTATAAACCGGATTTCCAGGTTGTAAACCAGAGACAGTAGAGGAGGAAAGCCCAAAAAAAGAACAAAGCAAAATTAACTTGTGCAAGGTAATTGGTCTAAACCACAATAAGAATACACAAGCTCTGATTTGGATGGGGGTAGTACACATTTCAAAAATATGTGGGAACCTCCCAAGCTAGAACAATTGAGATAAAGGGTTAAATGATACTAGGAGCAAGGTTTTTGCCTATGAAGACCCAGGAAGCACCAGCAGATCAGTTAGAATATATATTACAGCAGGCTGAATCCATCAACTTGTGACTTTAGAAGCTATAAAAGTTTGGTGCGATCCACCTAGCACATTTTTCCCCCCAAACACTGTTTTGCCGTTGGATTGTCAGCACTAGAAATTGTCTCACAAATAGCTTTTCTCCCATATGCCAGGTCTGGACAAGTCTCACCCCAGAACTAGGTGCCAGATTTAAAAACCCTAGGAGGCCAGCACCATGCCACCTTCATATTACTATTTTAGGTAGCTGAAAGATGCATAGCTAAGCAACTTGGAATGAAAACATTTGTTGTATTAACTTTAAACAGTTTTCATTTTAACACATTAATAAAAATGCATAACAGACTATTACCTTATCAGAACAGCTAACCTTTATTAACAATAAACAGAAAATGCCAAATGTTCCCATCATACAACCAGGTAAAAGTATTTCAGGAAAAAGACAGGGGTTCTCAATGCAGACAATTCATGGTCCTGAAGCCACCAAATGTCAGCTTGACTGCCAGCAGGAGGTGGGCTATTGTTAGATAAAGTGAGAATGCAGCAGCTAATGTGACTGTACGGACAAGACAGACTGAGCAAGGTTCTGCTAGCATGTGAGAAAGGTGAACACGAGTGAAGCCGGCACTGCAGCTGCCATTAAGCAAGGCAAACTGTACCCAACAATAACATTTGAATCAATCATCATGGCGATTGGAAATTGTCCAGACCTGCCATATGCTACATGTTTGTACCAAAACAAAAACCCCAATAAAACTAAAATCCCTCACAGATAACCTCCAACCCTTAACAATCAGGTTATACTGCTGCCTACAGGAGGTTGGGTGACCAGCAAATATTTATATATATATATATATTTAAAAAAAAAAAAATCAATCAGAAGCCAGTACACGTATAAGCCCTTCTCTATCCACCATGCCACAGTTTTGTGCGAAAGAAAGAACCAAAAAACTGTATTTTCTCCATTGCGCAAGGGACCTAAAAATTTAGAACGTCCAAAAGCAGTCCAACTGAGGGGTGGGCAACAGCCAATGATGGACCCAAATATTGGGAGCAGTCTGGAACAGAAGTGATTGAAGGACCAATGCCCAAATGGTTCCACAAGGCATACAGACCGCCACTATCTAGCAAAGGTTCCTTAGTCAAAGATTGAGGGGTAGAAGTCTTAGCCTCTCAGCAGAAAGGCAGCACACCAACCACAGAAGGGGAACCCACCTTCTAGAGATCAGATCTCACAAAAGCCTCCAGACACTTTATCCCCACAGGGGGTACCAGTAGGAGCAGCTCAGCATATTCTGCCTGCCGATCATCCGAAGGAGAACAGGGCTAAAGTAAATGATACTTCCTGCCACACAAGAGATGAAGTACAGAATCCTTCTCCTTCCATTTGAAAATTACCAGTAAAAGGAGAGCCCAATGATGACCTGTCTGCGGACACTGTAGTCAAGCATAGCACACTCAGGATGTCCAATGTAGGGACCGGGACAGTTCATCTGTCACAGGGCAAGGTGCAGACCTTCACGGAGGGAAGGCTAGCAACATGTAAGTGATGCCCAATGGAGGCCAGGTAAGGACAGAGATGCGGAAGCACCTCATGAAACGGAGGAAGCAGTCTGTTCAGGGGAACCAGGCATCAAAAAGTGGAGTCCTTCCAGGGCAAGGAAGAATAAACAGCCACATTTGTTCCAAGAAGCTTTCAGATAACATCAGAACTTCTTGGTCCAGAGAGACCATTTGGGTGTCTCGCCCCAACTACAGGGTCTCAGAAGGGGGAGAATGAAAAGGCCTGCAACTATACAGGGAAAGGGGGAACTACCTTGGAAAGTCATTCCTTTCGTACCCCATGACCCCTAAATGGGAGGAGGTGAAAAAAATCTTGACAGAGGAATAAGGGACTTATGCTCCACAGGAGTAGACCTCTTGAGTGAAGATTTAAACCGAGTAACATTGCCTGATGGTGAACAACAATTAGAGTTATGTTGCCTGAGTGTACCACAATGGGGATGCCAGGAAAAGGCACAAGGTGAACATATGGTCAGGTGTTTTTGGACAGAAACCCGTGAAGGAGACTGCAAGGGCAGTGCCTTATTTGGGAAAGGAACAGCAGAAACCAAACCCTGCCAGCCTGAGTCCCCCTCAGAAGAGGGATAAAGCGTTACTGGGAGTTCCTGGCGACCTGAGGATAAGGCACTCTCCTGAAAAGGACAATTGCAAGTTTATGCATGTTACCACTCCCGAAAACAAGGGATCCCAGGGGGTGGGGAACCCAGAAGAGAGTTTGCTGGAAGCAATAACAGCATAAACATGGTGAAGGGCAGCTGTGGAAGAGATCAGGTACAAGAGAATAGCCTGTGAGCCACGGGGGTGGACCAGAGCACCCAAATGACGCAGGATGTTCAAAGTTAAGATTCAAGAGACACAGGTCAAAAAAAAAAAAAAGAAGATCAAGAGAAAGCACCAGGACTCAATCCTTCTGACTCAACTCCTACTGTGGTAAAACCGGCAGTGGTGGGACTTTGTGAAAATGAACCATAAAGTTCAGTTAGTGAGGTAGCTCCTAGTACTTAAGCCCGACCGGCCTTACCCAGACTGCATCACACCCACGGCTGTGCCACCTCTGGAACCAGAAAGAGCTCCATGGATAACAGAATTTTTCTTGAGCAACTAAAAGTTTAACAGAGAATGTGGCTTTCATTGGGAAACTCAATTCAATCCAAAATGAAATAAAAATCAGTCTGTGATGACATTATCGAAAGTCATAACAAGATTTTTCAAATAATTTGTAAGAAAATCTACCAGCATATGGTATGGCCAGCTGTAGATTTGGGAAGCACCACAATGCAGATAGGCAGATAGCCCAGTGCTCCAGTGCTCGCCGCAGGTTACATTCCAGGCTAAGCCCTGCACGTTCAGTTCAGCAAGAGCAGGGTACAGCCTCCAAAGCGATCGCATTGCGGCCCGGAGGGCGGGACTACGGTGCCATTCACTTCAATGGCCCGCATGCCCTCTCCTGCCCGGCAAAAAAGTGAGCTAGCGGCAAGGCAGTGCATTCCGGCCAGAAACGGACTGCTTATGGTGTGAACTAACCCTAACACAAGATAAAAAAATAGATCTGTTTGCAGAAAAAAGGTTTGACCACAAGCAGGGACCACCCCCCAGGCTGTTCTTATTTGCACCTAGGATCCTACTTCTACAGGTAGCACTATAACCCATCAGTCAAGCTTCTAAAACCTAGCTGTGTCCTTCAAAGAAGAAAAAATATTTTTACCAGATGCATCAGTTAAAAGGTGCATTGAAAAAAACTTACCTTGACTACTTCGATCATAGACAGACCCAGGAATTATAGCTTCTCGAGCATCATACATGGCAGTTGTCATAAAACGAGCACCCTGCAAATAAGAAATAACTTTAACAGCAAAGAAAGGAAAAAATAAAAAAAAAAGGAAATTCATATTTGATTCCAACTATTAGCAATACACACAGGTAATCAGCTAATTACATCGGAAGATAATTTTTTAAAAAATATACCTTACTGCTGCATGATTGGGGAAATACTAGCAAAGTAGAGAAGGTGCACATTTTGTCCAGGAATTCTTCATAAAGGATGTGGTCTTGGTAACTTAATACAGAGTCAACTCATGGCGAAGCCGCTTACAGATGGAAAGTGATGTGTAACCAGCAACAAATAAGGCACCACAAACAACACCCTTACTCCATAAAAACTGACATTTCTTAAAGTGTATGTAAAACCCAAATACCAAAGTTGTGTAAAGGACTCCCTTTTTCATTGGTAGCTGTACAAGGTTTCTTTAAAATGGTGCAAGTAAACATTTGATAAATGCCTGTGGGTTCTGCCAGTTTATGTTCTCTCCAAAGGGATTTTTAAATAGGGGGACACCCCAATACTAATTCTGCAGGACAGTGCCTCCTTGTGCCATTATCTGCTGTTGTAAATACCACCTATTTGATTGACAACTGCTCTTACCATTTATCTATACCTCTAAGTTCCCATTCACACTGGGCGTTTAATCGGGCCTAAATGTCGCCACCCGTTTTGCTTAACAGCTTAGCCTGTAATAGCTGGCAGAAAAATTGGCACATCTACTGGCACGGTCAACAGAGGGATAGAGAAAAACAATGACTGCTATGTTCCCCTTAGCCCATAAAACACATAGGGATACATTGGGACGCGTTTTAGGTGCATGAGCGCACGGATCTGGTCCGGACAGAATCCGGACGTCGTGTGAACAAGCCCTTAGTGTGCCCCTTTATATTATACAAAAAAAATATATATGAGGAATAGTCATGGGGCTGTTTCAATTGTCTTTTTTGTGTGTTATGATTGACAACGTTGCCAATTTTTAATAGAGGTTTGCCTTGTGGGGTGCCGTGCATGTAATTTTTCTTGATGGATTTTTTTTATTGTTATTGCGAATAAAGTAAGCCAATTGGCTCTGAATTATAGAACACTAGTTGATTTGTAACTTCTTTATCCACCTTTTCTTGATATATGCATATAAGTTACCAACTATATCTAGGAACTATTCAGTTCTGTACTTCAGTGGCGTTTATCTCATTTTTCTATTGAATATTGCCTAGCAGCTGTGTAGCCCTCAAGGCAATTACAAAACTTTTTGTCCCCATTATACACAATGCTTTAAACCAATAGTGATGGTCAAAGAATTCAGGTGAAACAAAATGAATTGTGCAGGTGTGACAAATAGTTGTACGAATGTGACAAGTATTAAGCCAATTTGTTCTCCAGTAAAAACAGATCACTCTTTGGTTGGTCTCCTTATAATTTTGAATATACAGTATTACGGGTTTTATATTTTCGCTACAATGATTAATGTTTATATACATCACTGTGCTACCCACACTTCTATGCACTCACCAGATCTCGTATTGGAACAGAAAGAGTCAACATCTAACTTACCTGTGTATTGTGTGCAAGGTCGATTTGGAATATCCTCGATTGTGGCGTTATTTGACCTTATGTATGTACCTGTATGTCAAATACGAGGTTATATTCCATCTGGTGATTGCATAGAAGTTTGGTGTATATGAAGATTAATCATTGGAGTGAAGATATAACACAGTTAAAATTTTATTCACAATTATAAGACTGATATGGGAAAAAAAGTATTGTCCCACATATATTAGTTTACCACTATATGAGTAGGACAGAGGCAGGCACAGGGAAACTCTTCTGTCCTCCTGTACTGCTGGTGGCAGAGAACACATTTGACATCACTGGTTGCTAGGACTGGTTCTAACAACCTAAGACTGCTGAGGAGGTGGACACCTGAAGTCACTGCTTGCTAGGATGCCAGCGGTCCTAGCAACCAACTGAAGAGGGGGGCCTGTGCTGGGCTATGACAGGGGGGATAATGTCCTAACATGTCATGCAGCTTTTGAATCTTGGCAAAGAAAAATCAGTTGCTGTAAATACTTACAGGATTAATGGTGTTTACAAGTTTGCGCGGTTTACTGAACTGCATGAGACTCTCCCGGAGATTGTTCAGAGGTCCCTCCACAAGGACTTTCTGCTCTTTGTAATAATTAAGTAGATGATTCCATAGAGGCTGCTTTGATAAGGCTTTTGGGTTGCCCACAATAATTACACCATACCTGGAAATTATATAAAGTTTTTTTTAACCATGTGATAGTAAAATATAAAAGAACACAAAAAAGTGTGACGAAAGATATTGCTGAGCATGAGATTCCACATAAAAGCTAGCAGCACTGTCAATCCTGATTAAATGTTCTAAATGTTAGGAGTATTTTGAAGAACATTACCGGACAGTGGAACACTGTTCAAGTTTAATCTGTTTATTTTTTGCCTTCCTTGGTTACTACTTTTCTCCCTCAAAAATGCTGACATTTTTAAATAAAACCTTTTTGTCATCATTACATGCCTTAAAGTGACATTAAAACCTCAGATTTCTTTACAGAAAACCAATACTGTAATGTGTGCCTTACTGTAATCCATGGTAGTTTCCTTTCTCTTTGCTGCTCTTCTTTTTAAATCTGTATCTCTTCTCATGCTCGGGGAGAACTTCCCTTTGCAGCTGACTGCCTCTTCCTTTAGTGCTGGCTCAGGTTGTGAACCTACACACAGACACCATGTATCCATTTCAGAGATAAGCAGTCTGCTGCAAAACAGAAGTTCTGCCCAGCATGAGAAGAGATACGGATTTAAAAAGGAAGAGCAGCAAAGAGAAGGGAAACAACCATGGATTACAGTAAGGCACACATTACAGTATTGTTTTATGTAAAAAAATCTGAGGGTTTAATGTCACTTTAAGACCCATTGATGTAATCACTGGTTATCAAGGTTTCTTTACTTAATGCAGGCAGGTCATGGCTGGCGGAAGGGGCTGGCAGGGTGCTGCACATAGCTTTCTGAAGACATCACAGAACTCTGCTTCAGTACTCCTTTAAAGAGTCCATGGAAGCAGTGGGCTGGCACTAGAGAGGAGTTGCGCAAATATCAAAATGCCTTGATGGGTGGATGTCAGTCTGAAGAAATGGGTGTTCCTAGGCAGGCTGCTTTTGCCATGAACATCAAGGCTGTGGACGAAAAGGGCTAGATGATACTGTACGTCCTCCTAACAAATGGAGCGCTATTTGACTTACTGCAGCATCTAATGCACACCGTGAGAAAGTCACCGTGAAATCAGGGTAAGCAATTTCAGTACAGCAGAGGAACCTGTACAACTGCAAGACTGAAGGCAAGACCGCAATTCTGTTTTAAAGCGGCACTAAACTCAGGAGTAAAACTTAAAACATTTTTGTTAATAGTTGGAGGTACTTCAACGCAATTTTTGTGCATCACTCGGCTGTAGATCTTCAAATCATCTCACATTCCGTGCTGACACTGTCCTACCTTCTGGAGGGTGGCTACTTTGTTTCCCATGGTCCCTGTGTGTGTTGTAAAGTAGCCACCACTCCAAGCTCGCTCCTGTGATGGACTACAATCTCATGTATAGTTTATTAATTTGTAATTTGTATTAAGAATGTAGTCCATCACGGGAGCGAGCTTAGAGCAGTAACTGTTTTAACACACACGGAACAAAAGTAGCCACCCTCCAGACAGTGTCAGCATTAATTTAGAGACGATTTGAGAATCTAGAGCCGAGTAATACACAAAGATATATTTTTGTTATTAGTTAAGGTACTTGAATGTATTTTTAAGATTTAACTCCTTTAATCTCACTTTAATCTCTGCAAAACAAATATTGCATTGACAAAAAAAAAAATGTATCACCACAGCTGCAAATTCAAAAGTTTTTGTCTCATTCGGAGTATTAAGAATACAGACAAAATTAAACAGAACTCATCTTTGAGATTACTAGAGACGAGTGCTTTGTTGAGCAAATCTGTTAATATAGTCTTCCCATGAGAAGAGTTATTTTCTATAAACGTATGGTTAGCTAAATTCTATGGCCACATGTTTAAGTCACTGTTAAACCACATACTGAGGACATACAGCGTGAATAGTCTTGTCGCTTGACCTTCTTATGGCGCAGTCAAATATTACGGTCATTAACCAGTTGACATCCGCGGTGGTAAACCCCCTTCCCATCCAGGCCATTTTTCAGTATTCAGCGCTGCGGTACTTTGACTGACATTTATTCCGTCATGCAACGCTGTACTGAAATGAATTGTATACCCTTTTTTGGGGACAGATAGAGCTTTTTTTGGTGGTATTTTTTTACCACTGGGGTTTTTATTTTTTACTATATTAAGGAAAACCTAAGTTAGGTACCTGGTAACTTATTTTCCAGGAATCGTCCAGGGCAGCCTCTGAGAGATGGGATCCTCCCACCTGAAACAGGAAACACATCATCCACAATTAGAATAAAAAGGGCGGTCCCGCCTAACCACCTCAGTATTATCATAGAACCGAAGGCCGGAAAGGACCACCAGGCAGTAACAATGAAACTCATGTTGAAACACACCACTCAATAAACAGGGCGGGAATCCATGCTGCCCTGGACGATTCCTGGAAAATAAGTTACCAGGTACCTAACTTAGGTTTTCCCCAGTCATCGTCCAGGGCAGCCTCTGAGAGGATAAATTAGGAATAATATACTTAACCAGGGGGGGGAAACACTGGCAAGCGCACCTTACTACCGAGAGTCTGATCACAACAGATGGAGGGTAACTCTGCAGTGCTACGCCAAAGCTTGTAACTCAGCTCAGTGACTTCCTTACAGATTTTCTCTGGCGACCCTAGCCGCAGATGAGTCCAAGGCCATCATTGCAGCTGGTCATAAACCCTTCTAGAGGATGACAGGGCGATGCACATCCGAAGCCACCAACCATCAGTGTTATGGTGTTTGTTAGCCTGTATCAGGCCCTGAAACAGGTCAAAAACATTCTTGGAGCTCCTCAAGGAGTGACAGAAGTCCAAGTAGTACCAGAGAAACCTACTAAAGCTTTGTCAGATTTAGAAGCCAACTTCCATCCTATGGATGAAAACAGGATAAAAAAGGAGGGACGCCAGCCCTCTATTGATATACTTGCCAAATTATACCACGAGAGTGTCTGTACACACTCGGACATCACCTGGCTAAGATACCATGGATTAAGGCCTCTCAAGAAGGAAGGCGTACATACATACCTACCTATGTGTACACTCACACCCAGACACCAAGAAGGTGCAGAGTTGTTTGAGATTTGTCTAGGACAGCTGTACTTAGGCTCTTGATCAAAGCCCGTCAATTCCAGGACTTCTGACCTTTACAGAAGCCAAGGGCTCACTGGGTAAGTTAGTTCTATCTGGCCAGTTAACCCCTACGTTTAAAAAATTAACTTGATCATTCCCAGATTTTATAGTTGATTGCGCCAACGAATGCACTCACAATCTCAAGAGTTAAAACATATTAATATGTCAAATGGCAACCAATATTAACAGGGTGTTTACCCCTTCATTGCATGTGCTCTCAGCACCCTGTCTTTCCCAACAAAGAAAAACAGTGCAGCATTTTTGTAGACATTACTTGGCCTGACCTGTACTGCAAAGTGCCACGAGGCAAGACGAAGCAACTGTGAAATCAAACAAATGTCACGAGGCTGGCCTATGATCCTAAGGTTTGACACTCCTCCGATACTATAGGCAGAATAGAGAAGCTGACGTATGCAGAAAACCCAAGCAGGTCGCCACTTCGACATTCTGACCTGTTGGGGGTAAAAACACCCGCCCATTCCTAAACGATGCCTAGATTACATGGGTGCAGGCACAACCATAAACCCTGAAGTATGTAGCCTGTCTCTGGAGTGATCTGGTTTATCATGGCTTGTCCATATCTGCTGCATTCGGGTGTGTGCCCAGAATAGTTTCAAATCACACCTTTGTGTTCGATTTCAGTGCTCCACAAAAATTATCTGGCATAAAACACACAGCTTGTGATTGTACCAGATAAAATTTCTCTAAATCGTGTGCCTGAGCATGCAAAATGCCTTCTGAATTCAGAGAGCAGCCAGTATTCCTGCGCCATTCCTATGCAGGGCAAATACACCCTTGCCATCCTCCCAGATATAAGGCCGATTCTCTTGTGTGAAATCGAAGAGAATGAAAAAGCACGAAACCAACCACCTGAAGCCATGCTTGGGGTGGATACAAGACCAAGCTTGATATTCATGTAATAGCCTGGAAAAAAAAGCTATGCCCCATTGAAGTCCCCTAACAGAGCATATGCTATAAACAGCCCAACAGATGTTTAAACTGCATGCGTCCAGTAAAAGGATGCACTAACAACGTTCTGTTCAGGGGACCCTCCATATGCTGAGCTTAAGCCAACCAGGTTCACATAGTGGGTGCCCATACACCTCTTTGGCGATACACAGATCTGGCAGGAAAGCTTGGCCCGGAAAGAAAAACAATTTGTCAATGCAGGAAGCACTCTTAGGGTGTTTTGGCTTCTGCTGGCAGGGGCTTATCCTCTGAGGCCTATACTTATGCCAAAAAAGGGAAGGGCTCAGAGCCTGCCACCCGAGACCAAGCTGCACCCCCCTGGGGAAAGACCCATTGGGAGGTGCATCAAGTAAGCCAACTACCCCTTGCCCCACCGAAGTAGGCCCCCAGAGCAAGAAGGGTACAGGTAGGGGGGACTTGTCAATTGTAGACACGCCTACCTTGGAGCTGGCGCTTTGAACCCCCAGAATGGGAGAAGCAGCCTGTGATAAAGAGTCCAACGGTGTGCATCACCCTTCCCGTTTGGACTCACGCTCCTGCCCCCCTCCTGGCGCCCCTGCTTGCCAATGTGGATTGTCGACAAAGCACATTATTCATGTCCTGCTGTGATCCAGCTCAGGTCATCCGTCAATTCCTGTAGCAGGACACTCCGGGGGACTCCATCTGGAGACACTACGCCAGCGAGGATGGTTGCCATCTCCTTCCATTATCGAGGGGAACCTCTGGGCAAACATTTTTTGTAAGGACTCTGGGGGAATCAGTCCTGGGAAAAGTCCTGTGCATGAGACCCTACAGGTCCACTGTCCTGCGAGTGAGATCAGCATGCCTCAGGAGGCCCCTGCTATCTAGCATGATAGGCCTGGAGTAAAATAACAAACGTTGCGATGTTCCTGTTCGTCCGGAGGAAACACAAAATACTGAGGTGGTTAGGAGGGACCGCCCTTTTTATTCTAATTGTGGATGATGTGTTTCCTGTTTCAGGTGGGAGGATCCCATCTCTCAGAGGCTGCCCTGGACGATGACTGGGGAAAAATTACCGAATTCTTTTTTTTAAAGAAACAGTTTCCCTACTATGGAGATGTCCAAAACTGGTCCGGTATTGGGATAAGGTCATAAACACTCTCAATCATGTGTTTGCATCCTCTCTCTCTCGAACACACCATTGGTGTGCATACTTGGCATTATTGAAGATACGGACCTCACTAACCACACAGTCCTGGCCCTTAAACGTGCACTATTCACGGCAACCAGGCTAGCAGTCCATAAATGGATATCCTCTTCCCCACCTACACTAAAAATGTGGCATACGGAACTGGATAGGGTCATTGCCTATGAGCGAATCACCTTTCAACAACGGGGCACCCTGATACGATTTCACTCCCTGTGGGATAACTGGTTGGCATATCGGGGGCAGGACATATCTGCGTAGATGGAGTCTATGTGTCTTTTCTAGCGACCGTTGATGTCTGCACCCCATTACCTTGCCACACCCGTAAGACCATTGTGTACAAGTGGGAGGGACGGATATATGGGTATGTTCTGATGTTCCTGTAGTGGGTTCACGAGGCTTTCACAATACTTAATGTTTACTGTGTTCTTTAATTGGCGGGCAACATGTTCTTGTCGAAATATGTTCTGTGCTCCCTATGGATATGGATGCTTCTTTTCCTCTTTTTTTCTTGTTGTTTTTGTTTCTGTCTATGCTTTATGTTTTTCTACTGTGCAAAAAACGCGTTGTAAACGAGCACATATAGACGATCTACACGCCAGTGCAGCAGTGCCGTCCGTCTTTTTACAACGGGCGGACAGCAAGTGGTTAATAGAGTGGTTTGGTTCTGCTCACTAATGTTATGCGCTTAGAGCTAAAAAAGTAATCCATACAGTGTGGAGACAAATTAATGAAGATGAACAACAAAACACAATGCACAACATGTGCATTCTCCAGGTATAATCAAGTATGAATGTGATTATGTTCTCTTTAAAAGGGTACCAATGATCCTTGGGATCATGGCGTCACTAAACTGTGCTCTACTGGTGATGGATCAAAGCTATGGTGGTTTCTGGTCATATGACCTTTATGTAATCTGGTTGAAGACACCAAGGCCTTACAGTAAAAGGACATCTGTAAACTGAATACTAGCCATTCTGGTTGGACAAGGGACGGCGACATCACAGCACTGCCCCTCATCCAATCCGAAAACGCTAGTATTCCTTGAGGAAAAATACTAGGCAACCTCTAAATGGCCACTGTGCAAGAAACCTGCTGTGCTTTAACTGCACAGGGGAAGTTGTCCAGCACAGTGGATGTTACTACACCTGGAAGACAATGCAATACTCCGTATTAGCTGCGGCTACTACAGTGTATTACATGATCTCTTACACATGATCTCTTATTACATGATTTCTTACACAAAATTTAGAAATAAATAAATCAGATACCTTGCTCTGGTCAAAGCCACATTCAGACGACGGGGATCATTTAAAAATCCAATGCCCTGGTGCTCATTAGCTCTTACACAAGACAGAATGATAAAGTCCTTCTCTCGACCTTGAAATGCGTCAACACTGGCAATTTCCACTTCCTGGGGAATAGAATTACTTTTACATTGTGCTATACAAATTAAATATATACGGTATATAACAATGCACAGGACTAGTTTCATACCTGATACAGTTTGGTATGCAGGGAGCCACTAAACTGCATGTACTGTACTAAATATGACCTCTGGCCTTCATAAGGAGTAATTATCCCTATCTGATCTGGCTTGGCCCCTGCCTTCAGAAGCTTGGTTGTGATTTTCTCCACATTAGCAGCTTCAGTCCTATAAAAGAAAATCACAATATAACACATGCATCACCTGATAAGACAGATGTGAAGGATAAAATGTTACTGCTGACCATTTACAGACACAGGTTAAGTATACTTGGCATTCCATTCCCCTCATCAATCCAAATCTCCACGTGGCACAGCAAAAACAGGGACAACGTTGATGACACTGCTGGCTGAACAACTGTACTATAGTGTAATATCAATGACTGCATCCACTGGACTAGTTATCCAGGCAAGTTGCACAGGACAAGCACAGAGCAGAGACCTACTGTAGATCCACTATCCACAATATGGAGTGGCTATCAGGTAAGACAAATATAAGGCATGTACAGCTCTGAGCTGGTTTGGTTTCAACAAGACATCTAGAGGACTCATGGAAACACCTGCATTGTGCCCATGTTACGCTAAACCGGTCATGACAAGAGCATGCCATTGCGGAAAAATCCATCTTTGCCCTCTACTGCTAATGTAGTCAGTGGCGCGGTACATTTATAGGTGGTGGCCATCAAATCCTACAGATGCTACAATGGATTGAGATCTAGAGAATTATGGAGGCCAATTCAACACATCAAATTCTTTGTTGTGTTCCTCAAACCATTCTTGAACCATTTCTGCAGTGTGCCAGGGTGCATCATCTTGCTGAAAGGGGCCATTGCCATCAGGGAATACCATTTCTATGAAGTGGTGTACTTTGTGAGCAACAAATGTTTAGGGAGGTGGTACATGCCAAAGTAACATCCACATGAATGGCAGTACCCAAGGTTTCCTTGCAGAACATTGCCCAAAGCATCACACTGCCTCCCATAGTGCATCCTGGTGGCATCTTTTCCCCAGCTAAGCGACACATGCACACCAGCCATCCATATGACGTAAAAGAAAACATGATTCATTAGACCAGGCCACCTTTTTACACTGCTCCGTTGTACAGTTCTGATGCTCACGTGCCCATTGTAGGTGCTTTTTGTGGTGAACACAGGTCAGCACGGGCACTCCGACCAGTCTGCAGCTATGCAGCTCCTTATGCAATAAACTGCGATGCACTGTATGTTCAGACACCTTTCTATCAGAACCGGCATTAACTTTTTCAACAATTTGAGCTGTAGTAGCTCTTCTATTGCATCGGGCTATACGGGCCAGCGTTCGCTCCCCATGTGCATCAGTGAGCCTTGGCCGCCCATGACCCTGCTGCTGGTTCACCTTCCTAGGACCACTTTTGGTAGGCCTGACCACAATAGACCAGGGACGTCCCCACAAGAGCTGCAAGTTTTGGAGTTGGTCTGACCCAGTCTAGCCATCACAAATTGACCCTATTCAAAGTCTCTTAAATCCTTACACTTACCATTTTTCTGCTTCCAACACATCAACTTCAGGGATGTTAGTATATAACCTACCTATCTATATTAAATGAAAGCTAAAATTGTGTTTTAATCCCACCCACAAAGTTACTATTTTTAATCCCTAAGAAGGCAAAAACTCTGCTTGTTTATACCTGTTTAAATAGGAAGTGCCTGAACTTGCAATTTCCTCCTGTCCCTGGGTTACATAAAAGAACATTGGCTTGTCCGGTTGTGGCCACTGGAAGTCAAAACCTTTCTTCACACGGTCCGCTGGAAAGAAAAATGAAGGTGTTGATAAAAATTCACAACACAAACTTCAAGAATAGCGAGTGTATAAGTGCATTACCTGCAGTGACACCATTCTGAAGGGAGCCTTCATAGAAGATGTTTGATGGAAAAGCACTCAGCGCAGGGTGCATTCGATACTGAACCTGCAGGCGAATAGGTCTGATTCCTAGAACCACAAGTCTCTCAAACAAAGACTGTGACAAGCCAGCCTTCGCAGCTTTTTTACACATCACAACTGGTCCAAGCTGACAATGATCTCCCACCAAAATTAGCTGCAACATAACAGTAGATATCAAAAAAGATCTCAACATTTAAACACAAATAATCACAATTTTTCAATATGCACATGTCCAGAGCTTGAAAAATTTTAGGGTGTCTCACCAGTCAGTCAAAAATTTCACCAGTCAGCATGACCGGACTATTGGCCTTGCATAGTTACATACATAGTTACATAGTATTTGAGGTTGAAGACATAAGTCCATCAAGTCCAACCTGTCCAACCCAGATAGAGCTTTCTTTTGGGGGTATATAATCACCTCGGGGTTATTTTTTTTTAATATATAATGAAATAAGTACCGTAAATGTGAAAAAGGAAAAAAAAAAAAAAAGAGTTTCCCTACACTATGTTATAAAACATTTATATCCATATTTTTGGTAAAAACATAAAAGTCGGGGTCACGTCGGGTAAATAGACACCAAACATGTCAAGCCTTAAAATTGCATGCGCCCGCAAAACCGCAAAAAAACGCCCATAGGCAACGCTTAAAATGCTTTTACTGCTCATTAGTTTAGAGTTATCAGTGATTGATGGCCCTAAAATTATTGCTCTCACTCCGACGTTTGCGGCGATATGTAACTCGTGCGGCACAATCGGTGTTTTCGCACGTAGGCGCACCTGACTCATATCTGAGTGTGTATGTGGGGGGTGGGGACTATAAAAACATTAAATGTTTTTTAATTTTTTTATGCTTTATTTTTTTATGATTCTTTAATTTTTGTATTACTTTTTTTTCTTTTGACACACAACTTTATTGCTATTACATCGGTGGCTAAGAAGCCCCCTATATAATAGCCAATTTACATGACAGGTCCTCTTTATGGAGACATCAGGGGTCTCAAAGACTACTGTTACCTAGTGAACCCCAGAGAAGCTGATGAAGCAGAGATCTGCTTCATCAGTTTCTGTAGCTGGAGAGTGACACTGAATGCAGGAAGTGATGTAATATACTGCATTCGGAGACTGAGAGGAGATCAAAGGGAGTTCGTGTACTGAACTCCCTTTGATCTCCTGTCACAGAGCCGTGCCGCTCCCGGCCGCATCAGGCACAGCAGATCTCGGGACCGGCAACAGCAGTGACAGCTACTAATACAAGCGGTCGAGCGTCTCTAGAGACGTAAAAGCTGCTCGTCGGGCTCGACCATCCTCTTGATCAATCTCGTGGATTTTTCAAGCCCTGTACATGTCACAGCGGAGGCTACTGTCCATCACTAGAAGCTGTCAATGCCCTACCCCTGAAAGTGGTGATGAAACTAGTTTCAAGGCAAAATACACATGTACAATACAACTTCCAGCCCAACAAATTATAGCCCATTCTCCTCATGACAGGGTAAACTCCCAGCTGTCTGCTGTTCCACCCAGTGAAGGATAAGAGCAATAGCAGTCTTTGAACACAAGAGCAACCCTTAAGGTGCCCATACACTGGTCGATTTCCAGCCAGTTTTTAATGTTGCGGCCAAAATTCGCACAGTGTGTGGAGCTGTCGGCTCCCTTTCAGCCAGCATTCCTTAATCAGCTAATCGAAGGAGCCGGCTGAAAAACTTTGGATTGATCATGAGCTGCCCATTCTCATTGGGTATTCTGACAGGTGTCAGAAGAAACCTGTCTTAAAGGAAATATGAAGGGGCGACATTGTTGATCTCCTGAAAATGCCAGTTGCCTGTCTATGTCTTCACTAGGATCCCAGGCAGTGACCCAAAACAAGTATGTAGACTGGAAAAGTCAGTAAATGCAGAACTACTGAATACGTGTTTCAGGTCAGTGACTGAAAAGTGCTGTAGAAGACAGACAACATGACAGCGATATAGAATTAACCAAGCAACGGCAGCTTCAATGTCTTCTTACAAGTTTCCTTGAAACTCCCACCTTTTCAAACAAGCATACAACATTGCATTCATAATTCAGCATATTACCACTGAATTTTCTCCAATCATATTGCTAAAATAAAATGCTCTAAAAAAATTAAGAAATGAGCATTCCCAATTAATCATTCACATGCTAGAATTTCCAGATATTGTACTCCATTGTAAATGTAGTACACAAAAAAAAAATTGGGAATTTACCTGCTTTGCTCCAAGAACAACTGGCACCATACATTCTGGTTCTGTGGCTTGAGTACTTTCATCAATTAAAATTGAACGGAACTGCATTTTTGCCAGCCTAGGATCCCCTGCACCCACACAGGTACAGCAAATCACATCTGCATTCTGTAAAGGGATACAAAAATAATGAAAAACTTGAATAAAAAGGAAAAATATGACCCCAAAAGCACATGAAACACATTACAACTTCCATGACAGGGTCTAACAAGAGGCAGCTATATGGCCTAACAGAAGCACCATCAGTTGAATCCTTTAAGGTTATTTCTAAGCATGGACTTAGAAATGGACGACTCCATATGTTCAGCTCTCATGTGCCTCAGCTAGAACTTTTACTTTATTAGTAAAGCAAAACCGCAGCAAAATGTTTGCCACATAAAATGTTCATATGCAATAAAAATGGAAAGCATTTATCTTTTACTCCTACCATAAGCAGCTCCCTTTCAGCTGTTCTTTTAAGGGCTCTGTATCGTTTCTCATCAGCAGAAGAAAGTTCTCCAGTCTCATCTTTAAGCTGCTGCAACTTTTGCAGCTCTGGCATACTGAAAAGGAAAAGTTTAAAAGAACAAAAAGAAAAATCAGCCATCATCTAAGATTTGAAAGAACTAAACTTGGCACATATAACTCAGATCTAAACAAAAGCCTATTTTAAATGAAGGCATTTCTTACTTCTTTTTAAGGCTACAAAATAAGCTACTGCAAATATATTTGTGTGCAACATGCAACACATGATTTTGTGCTGTAAAAAAGCAGGACAACTAGTAGTTAACATGAAAAAAACCCCCAAAAAACAAACAATGATCTTAGGCATAAAAAAAATGAGAATACTGATCAGAAGGCCACCCTGTCTTTGTGGAGAAACCCAATTTTGGGTATGGTAGTTTTCTGCGATTTCGCGGGTGCGCGCAATTTTAAAGCTTGACATGTTTGGTGTCTAATTTACCTGACGTGACCCGATCTTTTATATTTTACCAAAAAACTGGGTAATAATAAATGTTTCCTAACAATGTTAAAAAAAAAAACTTTTTTTCTCAAAATTTTCTGTAATTTTTCCTAATTATAGTAAAAAATAGTATTAAATACCACCAAAATAAAGCTCTATCTGTCCCCAAAAAATGGTATAAAATTCATTTCAGTACAGCGTTGCATGACGGAATAAACGCCAGTCAAAGTACCGCAGCGCTGAATACTGAAAAATGGCCTGGCCAGGAAGGGGGTCTAAACACCTGGTCTTGAAGTGGTTAAAGCTTTTAAGTAAAATATACTGAACGAGGCGATAGTACTGAATACCTTTCCATGTTACGAATCTGGTTATGCAATGCCAAGAAAGAAACCGGAGAATCAATTGCTTCACGACTTTTTGCACAAAGGCGAACAACTTTGAGGCCAGTCTGGTGTATCTTCTCCGTCAGCTGATCCACAGCAATGTTGCTTGGTGCACACACCAAGACAGGACTGGAATAAGAAAATGAAAAGGACGCTTATTAAAATCCAAATTGGCACATTGTTGTGTTATGCAATATAAAAATTAAGGATTAACAGAGACCTTAAGTTATGGCACATAATATTGTATTGTGCTGTATAGTAAAGGAAAAAGTAAAAAAAAGGTTTATAATTATACATTTTCAAAAAGAAAACTGTAAATAAACCTGGGCAGTTAACACCAAGTAAAATGTTTGGAAAAAAAAAAAAAATGAAATGCTCAAACAGATGCTTGCGCTTCAGGTAACGAAAAAACTCACATGACAAAATCACAACAAAGTCCAAAGTTGTATGCAAATCAAAACCTTTACTTTAAAGTATCTTATGCTTCTGCGCACTCTCACCTCCCTATTTGCCAATGATAATGTCTAGGGAAGCACCGATACCGGTATTTCGGTACCAAGTATCGATTTTTTTTCCGGTACTCGCAGATACCTAAAGTCCCATTCAGGAAGCCAGGCGGCGTGTAATGACTCGCTACCTGGCTTCCTGATTAGCCAGGAAGCATGTAAAGACTCGCCAGCCGGCTTCATGCTCCCTCGTCATCTGGATTACCTCACTTAAAATATTTATGCATTTTTCTTCCCCATCATAAGCTTGGTTTACAGCCCTAGAGAAGGTTTACTTCAACCTTTAACTTTGAGTTGATCAGACATGTCAAATGTTTTGGCCTTTTTGTAACTTAAGGGACCATGATTGTTGTGTTATGCAATATAAAAATTAAGGATTAACAGAGACCTTCAGCACACACACATGATAAAACCTGAAATCTTGGATAGAAAATTACTTTAAACTGCTAAACAAAAATATATTTTCTGAAACCAGAGACCTTGAAGAATAAAAAAAAAAAAGGCAGCTGCATTTTTTGTGCGTCGCACTATATTTGCACAAATGTTTATCAAATCAATATTTTTAGGTGGGAAAAAAAAAATTAAATTAATTTTAGTGCACACAAACTATTTAATGCCCTTTTGTAAAATATAAAACATGGGGTTACATCGAGTAAATACCAAACATGTCCTGCATTAAAAATGTGTGCGCCTGTGCAATGGTGCAAAATTCCCCATAGGCAGCACTTTAAAAGCTTTTACTGCTCGTTTGTTCACAGTGAATTATGGCACTAGAATTATTGCTCTCATATCAGGAGGCAGGTGTATAAAACTTAACCAGGTGGTATAGAGTCTCCACAGTCCTTCATTTTGTGTATCCTTCTGTGCCTACGTTGTGCTGGCATTGTGAGGAGAGGTGGGTTCCATTTTGCACATTTTTGGGGATTGCCCAAAAATCTAAACTTTTTTGTCTCAGATTGCAGCCTTGATTCAGGAGATTGCAGGGATTCATGTCATCTTTGACCCCCCTCGGTTTTTCCTTCTTCACCTGACCCCGATTTCTTGGAAGCAATATAAGCGTTCCTTGCCGATTCATCTCCTAAATGCAGCAAGGGCGTGTTTCCTGGCTCACCCTCATGTCAGCAGACTGATGGGTCAGCTCCGCCCCTCTGACCCCACAGGACCACCTTCCAAAGTGACTAAAGGCCCGACCCCCCCTTAGATACCTGTTCTCTTTTTGTCCTCGCTCCAGGCCACGAAGTTCCTTGTTTGCAGTTCCTCCCCTAAGGTGTGGCTTACAGGGTTCAGTGTGAATGGCTGCTAATATGTTCTCTCCTCTTTGCTTCCACACCCGAATCCCGCACGTCTTTCATTGAGAGTAATTGATACCATGCTTCGCTCTAGGGGACCTGCGACTCACGCGCCTTACTCGAGAATATGGAACAAATTTCTAATGTTCGCAACTACCAAAGGCTTCACTCCAATGACAGCAGGTATTCCGGAGATTGTAGACTTCCTACAATCAGCCTTAATTGCGGGCCTGTCGCTCGTCTTGTCAGGGAACAGGTATCTAAGGGGGGGGTCGGGCCTTTATTCACTTTGGAAGGTGGTCCTGTGGGGTCAGAGGGGCGGAGCTGACCCATCAGTATGCTGACATGAGGATAAGCCAGGAAAAGAAAATTACGGTAAGTAGGATAACAATTTTCTGTAATACCTGCTTTGTGGAAGCAGACCCGGCCACCTTCTGTGGAGGAGATCAAACTGATGGAAGACCCGACTTCTTGCTGCGTGGGTCTCAAAACAAATTTGTAGCTACTTGGGCCGTTTGGTCCAAGTACAGAGATTCCCCTCAGTTCTCTCAGGATTGAGTCTCTGATGTAAACGCAGACTACTTGATTTTTTTTCTGATCAGAGCCTGGGACGCTATATGGGTCTTGAACCGGTGGGTCCGGGGCACCCAGGAGGATAGGGATACAGGTGAAACTCGAATAATTAGAATATCGTGCAAAAGTTAACTTATTTCACTAATGCAACTTAAAAAGGTGAAACTAATATATGAGATAGACTCATTACATGCAAAGCAAGATAGTTCAAGCCGTGATTTGCCATAATTGTGATGGTTATGGCTTACAGCTCATGAAAACCCCAAATCCACAATCTCAGAAAATGAGAATATTGTGAAAAGGTGCAATATTCTAGGCTCAAAGTGTCCCACTCAGCTAATTAAGCCATAACACCTGCAAAGGGTTCCTGAGCCTTTAAATGGTCTCTCAGTCTGGTTCAGTAGGAATCACAATCATGGGAAAGACTGCTGACCTGACAGTTGTGCAGAAAACCATCATTGACACCCTCCATGAGGGAAAGCCTCAAAAGGTAATTCTAAAAGAAGTTGGATGTTCCCAAAGTGCTGTATCAAAGCACATTAATAGAAAGTTATGTGGAAGGGAAAAGTGTGGAAGAAAAAGGTGCACAAGCAGCAGGGATGACCGAAGCCTGGAGAGGATTGTCAGGAAAAGGCCATTCAAAAGTGTTGGGGACTTTTCACAAGGAGTGGACTGAGTGCATCAAGAGCCACCACACACAGACGGATCCTGGACATGGGCTTCAAATGTCATATTCCTCTTGTCAAGCCACTCCTGAACAACAAACAACGTCAGAAGAGTCTTATCTGGGCTAAAGAAAAACAGACCTGGTCTGTTGCTCAGTGGTCCAAAGTCCTCTTTTCTGATTTCTCATTTGGAAACCAAGGACCCAGAGTATGGAGGAAGAATGGAGAGGAACACACTGCAAGATGCTTGAAGTCCAGTGTGAAGTTTCCACAGTCTGTGTTGATTTGGGGAGCCATGTCATCTGCTGGTGTTGGTCCACTGTGCTTCATTAAGTCCAGGGTCAACACAGCCGTCTACCAGGAGATTTTGGAGCACTTCATGCTTCCTTCCGCAGACGAGCTCTATGGGGATGCTGACTTCATTTTCCAGCAGGACTTGGCACCTGCCCACACTGCCAAAAGCACCAAAACCTGGTTCAATGACCGTGGGATTACTGTGCTTGATTGGCCAGCAAACTCGCCTGACCTGAACCCCATAGAGAATCTATGGGGCATTGCCAAGAGAAAGATGAGAGACATGAGACCGAACAATGCAGAAGAGCTGAAGGCCGCTATTGAAGCATCCTGGTCTTCCATAACACCTCAGCAGTGCCACAGGCTGATAGCTTCCATGCCACGCCGCATTGAGGCAGTAATTGCTGCAAAAGGGGCCCAAACCAAGTACTGAGTACATATGCATGCTTATACTTTTCAGAGGTCCGATATTGTTCTATGTACAATCCTTGTTTTATTGATTGCATGTAATATTCTAATTTTCTAAGATTGTGGATTTGGGGTTTTCATGAGCTGTAAGCCATAATCATCACAATTATGACAAATCACGGCTTGAACTATCTTGCTTTGCATGTAATGAGTCTATCTCATATATTAGTTTCACCTTTTAAGTTGCATTAGTTAAATAAATGAACTTTTGCACAATATTCGAATTATTCGAGTTTCACCTGTACTTTGTCTGGTGTGTTTTCTTTCCCTACTCTTTGGCCTGTCTAGTGGTGTGCGTTCTTTTATGTTCTTTGCTCTTCGTTATACGTGCTTGGAGATGTCCACTTGGTTTTGTGGCTGGCCTCCTACGGTTTGTTATGTTTTTGTGTTATTTCCTCCGATTTAAACGTATAAAATGCTTTGAGGGTTTAGGTAGGAGTACAGGGACAGACCTTGGCAGGAAATGGATGATTTCAACTGCTGGTTTACCCATTATGCTTTTTTTCCAATATACGTCTCCTGATGGGTCTTTTTCTACTGTATTATGCATGGCCTGTGAGGCCTATATATTCATGTTTCCTTTCCCTTTAGTTCATAAATATGAAAAATAAAATAAAATTATATATATATATATCTCACCGACATTCAGGGAGATACAAAACGCGTGGTGCAATTGTCGTTTACTCCCCCCACTTATCTACCTTCTCCCCCCTCCCGCGCAACCACAAACCAGAATCACCTCGACTACCTGGAACCACAACCACTCGGACAAATAGCAAAAGGGCACCAATTACCCACAGGTCATACTCCCTGTGCTACTACGCTACGCACTACAAGAAACCTGGTGAACCCATGCCTCTTGATGTTTCGACGACACCCCAGGAATTACCCGAATAACCCAAATATAACGTTGTTGATGCTCCCCGAAATCCTTGGTTAGATGTGACTCTTACTGGCATTTCTTCCTTACTGACCTATTCAACTGCCCCCCTTCTTTCTAACCTGTCTCCTGGTTTCCAACTCGACCCTTCCATACCAGGATCTTCACTGTTACGGCACTGTTTGAATGGAAATGCACGTTGACCCGATTGTGGGTCATCGGTTTTTGTTTAACTCCTTACTGTATCCAAGTTGTACATCTGTAAAACCTCAATAAAACTAATTTGAAACAAAAAAAAAAAAAAAGGCAGATGGCAGAGGGGGTTAGTTTTAATTTTTTTTTCTTCATTTTTATTTATTATTTTTTGCTTTATCATTTGGTTTCCATTATAATTTTTATATAGCACTTAACGTTATTGCTATCACACAGGCTAACAATCCCCTATGTGATAGCATTTTGAGGTGACAGGTCTCTTTATGGAGACATCTGGGGTGTTTTATACCCCAGATGTCTCCCCGACCTCAGCCTAGTAAAGCAGCCATGATCTTGGTACAACTACTTCAGGACCAGGAGGTACAGTAGTCCTGAAGTAGTTAAAACCCACCGCCTTTAATGCAGCCAAAGTGATTTGGCAAAATCAAAGCTGCAAGGACAGTCCTGTATGATCCCTACCACTCCCAGCCTGCCTCAGCTTTGTAGCTAGCACTATAAGAAGGGATCACAGAAAAACAAAGGGGATGGTCAGACTGGGGTGACAATGTGTGTGCAAAAAGGGAATTCACTAGAGAGATGCAAGCGTTCTCTGGAAAATAATTCCCAAAGCAATAAAGAAACCCTTTAGCACTTATGGTTTAATGCTGGTCAATGCCAGACTGAAGAAAAAAGATAAGATGTGGTCCATTCAGTATTTTTTGGGATAGAACTTCCTTGCTCATCACCAAGCAAAATAACCATTCCAACTGTGAATGTAGACTTTACAGGAGGTTTACTTCCTAGCTTTCAGGAGCATAGTAATCACAGAAAGGCTGCTGTTCATCAGGGCTTCAAACAAACACCAGCAACTGAGAAGCAGAATGAAATGCCAATCTTTGGGACAGGAGGTCTGGACAATCTAAAAGTTTCGATGGAGAGTCTGCCAGGTTTGGACTATGTCCATGTATCACAGTTTACTGGGCCAATTGGGTGCAATGAAGATCACTGGAGTGCCCTCAGTCTCCATTCTGCAAAGAAGGTGAAGCAAGAGGTTTTTAGGAGGGAAAGGCGCAGAGCAACCTGAACGGATCCCACAGAGTCACCAAAGCATCCACTGACAAAACCTGGGGTCCGGATCTGTGATCCTGGTGATAAACTTGTCCAGTTTGTTACTGAACTAAGACGCAAGGAGGCCTATGTCTAGTGTTTCCTCATCTGCGACAAAGGGCCCAAAACACTTCTGAGTGAAGGGACCTTTAGGGATGTCTGCCTGACAATATTTCATGCCTGGATTGTGCATGATATTTGAGTTTTGCAACTTCTGGTGCCTGATAGGTAATGTAAGCTACAGCCATGGCATTGTCAAGACAATCCTGGTCAGGTGACCCTGTGAGGGACAACCCTGTCCTGCGTTGAAGGGACAACCAAGTCATCCAAGCATCACTATAGGGATCCCCCAAGACTAAAGCAGAGCCAAAACAGGGGTCAGCATTTTGGTGAAGACCCTTGTGCCCAGACATAGAAGGTAGAAATACTAACCCAGTGTAGTGGTGCAGGGATTTTTTTTCTCCCTGTGATGCTTTGCAGTCGAAGAAACAAGAGTAGCAGTGGGAGGTCAGCTTAGCAAATGCCAGAAGGAAAAAAAACAGTGGACACATGCACAGTACAGGATCCCAGGGGGAGGCTGTGCAGGTACTGAAGTGGCCCTCAGGACGCCAATAGGAGCCCAAACTGGTGCTAAATTTGAAAAAAAGGGGGAAAATTCCGGCCGTTGTTAACCCCCGCTGGGATAGGAGCTGCTGCACTGATCATCCTACAGAGACTGGGCCCTGGCTTACCTGTACCTTAGTGCGGCTGTGACCAGAGGGAAGTTGCAGTAATTTAAAGGAGACATGTACCCGTCCTGGTGGGTATAACACCAGAAGACTGTCTTAAGGGACAGGGCTGCACCAAGATGGAACTCAGCCCTGGACCTGTATAGAATCTTGCAGCAATTGCACACAAGTGCCAAGCTGGGAGCCCCATGGAGGAACCAGTGCCCTGAGCACATTATAGGCCGGTACAGCATCTTCCTTCTGGTGGGGTCTGTGTATGGTTTACCAAGGCTCAGCCAAGTAGAAAGCTGATCCGGATAGTTGCCGAGAGGCACCAGTGACTGTGAGCAGCTTAGGGAGAAGCTTGGTAGAAGAGCAGAAAAGGCTGTGCTTCTCTTAGGGCAGAGAGAAAGGCATCCATCGCCTAAGTACACTAGCAAAAAAACAGGCAGGCTGGAATTGGGAAGGGTTAAACAGGGCTGCTCTTAAGAGTTTTGATTTGCCAGTAGGGATGCACCGATATATCGGCTGCCGAAACATATGGGCCAAAAGTGCTATTTTCTGGCTGATACAGCAGTGCATCCATTCTCTCTCTCCTGTGAAACTGTCACAGGCAGCCGTGCGCTGCGGGAGGAGAGCGATGTGAGCGGCCGGCGCCTCCTACACCGCTCAGCCTCCTCTCACGGATCCGGAGAGCAGTGTGTGGGCGGAGACAACAAGCGCCGTCACAGGAGGCTGAGCTCTCCTCCCGCATCGCTCGCTCAGCCTCCTGTGACAGCTGTCAGAAAGGAGAGCGAGGTACAAACACTGTGAACGATGAGTGTTTCTAAATTGAGGACAAAGTATTGTTACTATATCCTCAATTATGAATGAATGGGAAGTGATCTACATCACCTCTTGTTCATTCATTATTGTGGTTATAGTAAAAAACACACAATGGCCTCATGTTATGAATGAACAAGCTCAGTATAGAGGATTCCTGTTCATTTATAACAGGGGCTGCTATCTACATCACTTCCTGTTCTTTCACAATTGTGTACATGGTAAACATACTATATCCACAAGTTATGAATGAACAGGAACACTCAGTATAGAGTTCCTGTATAGAGTTCCTGTTCATTTATAACAGGGGCTGCAGAAAAAGAGATAGAGGACTCTGTTTTCTCTCTTTTTCTATTTTGAAAGTTAAATATCAGGCCTCTGTTTAGACCCCTAATATTTCCCAGAGCCCCCGACAGTAAAGTGAAAAAAATAAAAATATTTAAAAGTAAATAAAGTTTTAAAAATTAAAAAAAATGATATTCGGTTTCAGCCTGACTTTTTTTATTTTGGTTTTGAAATTTAAATTTCAGTGCACCTCTATTTGCCAGTGTCCAATCACCTGAAGGTAGTCTCATAATCCATCGGTTCTGTGGCCTGAGATGTAAAAATACAACTCATTGATACGAATACTAACAATTGCAACCTACCACCTTTATCCCAGAGAAAGGGGCCTTAAAACAGTTGCATAAAAAATTGAGCCCCAAATAATAAGCAATTTTGTACAACAGTTATACGCTTTAGAACAAGGTATAGTACATGCACTGAATACCTGATTACATGCCAGCCATCATAGAAAACTGTTGAAAGACTAGTATGTTGTCCACAGCTAGAAACATTAAAAATTACAGGTTTTAATTGTATTATCTAGGAGTAGGACTGACTGGTAATGCTGTAAAAACTACAAACCACTAATGAATGTAATAAATATATAGCCATGTTAAACCTTAGCAATCTCAAAAGAATGTTAATATTTTATTGATACAAGGTAGCACTCTTTGTGCTACCTTGTATCAATAAAATATTAACATTCTTTGCTCTTTGCAACTGGGTGCAGTAAACCATTTTTTCCTGCTAGAGGCAGCTAGCATTAATGAACTAGAATTGCAAACGGTTACTGCATTTTTCTGTTCACAAGTCTTTAAACTAATGTTTCATATACTTTGCATCAAATGTTCTTTTTCAGAGCATTCTATCCCTTCTATCTGTCCAGTCAAAGCAAATATGCAATGTAAACTGTATGTGCAGAGATGCAAGAAAAACAAAAAGATCAGCAAATTCTCGTCACGAATTACTGTTTTATTCATCCATACAAAAAACTGAATAAAATTATACTCACTAAGTCTGTATCATAGGCATTCAGAACATCCAGAATAGTGGACTGTGGTCATCACCATGTTGAACTGTCAGGCATCCAGAATACGAGCAACAAAATAAAAAAGCCTTGCTGACGCATTTCTAGGGATAAACAGTCTTCCTCAGTTCAACATGGTGCCGACCAATTCTGGATGTTTGTTCTTAATGCCTTATTCAGTTTATCGACAAATAAAACCGTATTTCATGAGAAGGCGCTGTTCTTTCTTGCATGTCTTCTGAGGCTTCCCAACCTATCATGGAACAGAAGCCCCCTCTATGTAATTTTTATTGAAGTCCTTTCTGGATTATGATGTTGTGAGACCTCAAGCAAGCACTGCCAGATTGGAAAATACATCTTGTATGTGAAGAGAGACCACATGCTATTCTGCTGACTTTTTAAGCTTTGGGTGTAATCTAGGAGCATGCTGCTAATCACAGCTATACAGTCAAATTCAGCCTGCTAAAACAGGAGGCAGTTTAGTTCCTCCTTCTGGCTGCAAGTAGTAATTATGAAATTTGACATGCAATATTTCAAAATTACCTGAATAAAAAAAAATGTAAACTAGTTTTATTGATAAAGATTAAAAGGGAATTAAATTTTAAAAAACACCATCGTATAACTTATATAGATCTATCCCAATATAGATTGGACTTAAAATTTAGACAGCAAAGTAAATTTATCCTAGCAAAAATACATAGAAATCTAATAATATTAATATTACATGCGCTAATGCAGTTATCAAATCTGGGACTGCCTGGGCTTAATAGCTTCTAGATAAATGCCTGTGAGAGCAAACAAACTGGGTGGGTGGTTGTAGGAGCAATCTGACCACCCAAATGCATCTCAGTTTAGAGCTGAAACTACTAATCGATCAAAAAAAACCAACAAATCAATGAGAATTGTTGTAAACGATAATCAATTAGTTGATTTTCAATTAGTTGAATTCCCCCGCCGCCACTCTGCTCCTGCTGGCTGCAGCGTTCTGTGTCCCTTTCAATCCTCACCTGTATCAACAGAGGCAGCGGGGACACAGACCACTGCAGCACAAGCAGGGAGGAGAGAGTGCGGTGACTCTGCATTCCCCCGCTGGGTTACTCACCCATTTCCCTGTCTAGCAAGATGGTAGACAATTGTAGCAGATGTTACGGTTTTTCCAGTACCAGGAGGACCTTGAATAAGACTTAGTGGGCGTTGCAGAACAGTCTTTACTGCATAAACCTGAAAGTAAGCACAAACATTTTATGTTAAAATAAGAATGGTAGACCAATGCCCTATGATAAAACATTAAATGTTTGCTTTAACCGAGCTTGAAACCAAATGATACAGCACCAATGGAAGCAAGACTAAAACATCTACAAGAAAGAAAAAACAAAAAAGGTCTAAGTTTATCTATCACCAAGAATACAAGCTCTTTTATTCAAGAATATTTTTTTCTCTTGAATAAGCCAACAAGACTAATATTTACTATTATTATTTTTATATATTTACTAATATTTAATATATGAAGAGTCATGAAGAGTCTGATTACTAATCTTAGGCATTTCCAACTGATAAAAAAAAAAAGAAAAAAAACAGGGGATTGCCCTCACATTTTTAATTTTTTGGCAAAACATTTTGGCATCCTCAACTGGGATTGTTAGTTGTATTGAAGCAAAAAATGGCAGGATCCACAATGGGGACCGCCCAAGGTAAGGTATTCCTTCACAATAGGATTTTGCTGGGCAAACTGCTTGAGGGGAACAAATCATTTTTCAGGGTGTTGCTAAAGACCTTTCATGTGCCCTCTTTATCAGCATGTTTCCTGCACCAATTGGGTGCAGGAAACATGCTGATAAAGAGGGCACATGAAAGGTCTTTAGCAAGTTTAGGCCATTTGATTGAACCAATGCTGGTAACCTTGGGCTGAGTGGATGAGGGCACAGCTAGAGTTAAGTGCAGTGTTGACAAGGAGAAAGACGGTGTCCTTGAGTTTCAGGGAGACAGAGGTAGAACCCACCTTCAATGCCAAATCCTTAGACCCCAAATATATCTTTGGTACATCTCGAAAAACCAAAAATACGACAGACCCAAAACTGTTGAGCAGTTAGAATCCTATATCAGTCAAGAATGGGTTAACATTCATTTCCCAAAACTGCAGCAAATCGTCTCCACAGTTCACAGGCATTTACAGAGTGTTAAAAGAAAAGGTGATGGTAAACGGTGGTAAACATGGCCCTGTCCCAACTTTGAGACATGTATCTGCCTTATTTTACAAAATTGCCTTACGTTTTCTTAAAATGGTACCATTTTATCAGTTTAAATATTTGATACGTTTTCAATGTTGTATTGTGAATAAAATATGGATTTAGGAGATTTATAAACCATTGCATTCTGTTTTCATTTAGATTTTACACAGCGTCCCAACTTTCGGAATTGGGGTTGTAGAATAGACCCAGGGTCTCGAACCATATTTGCTCCAGACAGCCAAGGTCTGGCAAACACACATAGCTGGGGCCATGAGGCCAAAGAAAGCCTTAGCGAGTTCCTCAAAGTCGTTGAACGAGGACATGCTTAACAAGGACAGGGACAGTTTTGTTAAGACATAGCAGGCTATAGCAGGGTCCTCAACAGGGACCGGCCTTTTTTTCCAGGTATCCCTCCTCTATAGGGTACTGCTGAGCATACGTTTTACTGGCCTAATCCTGAAAGGGTGTTAACCCTCCTCAGTGTACAACATGCCCTCTTATGAGTGACTCTACAGGTAGGACTTATATGACTTAAGGACCTGACCTTAGGCAGAGTTGATGCCAGTGGTTGCCGTGCTAAGCATGTACACACTGCAGCAATAAGCATAACGGTGGTATCCTTGAGCTTAGGAGAGAGAGTGGCAGAACCTGCCTCCTCATGGGCAGAGTCATCAGATTCAGAAGAACAATCTTTCCTCACCTCTTTATCCACCTCAGGGAACAGATTATCTGCCAAGACAGACCAAAACCAACCTAGGTGGAGAAGCAAAGGGGTGGAGCCTTTTGCAGCACTTGCATTCAGAGGCCTCCAAAACTTCCCCCACAAAAATCAGACATGGGGGCAGACAGGAGGAGTGAGGGGTGCCGAGAGAGTAATGAAGCGCCTGAAGGAGGGAAAGAGGGCAGCTGTGGGCCATGATCTGAGCAGGAGTCCTAAGGCAGATTCGCTGGAAATCCCCACCAGGCGCTGGCCAACAGGAAAGCTAAGCAGAGATCAGGGCGCTGTGCAAAAAAATGCAGACCATGGAGACTTACGATCAACATAACAGGTAAGCAATATATTTTCTCAGGACAGATTTCCTTTAATATTGATTTTTTTTATCTTCAAACAGTTAAATTTTCTGTCCTTTTTATATTAATGAAATGTACATGTTCTTGGCAGTGGACTAAGATTTTTTTAATTTTTTTAGACAATAGTACTACGTAATGGCCAACTTTGGGGCACAATATTCTTGCTGGTTTTAAATGATCTTCATATTTTATTTTCTCTAAAGCCAGCTGCCTCAATATACATTTTCTTCTATTCCTGCAAACATGCTTGCTTAAATAAGGTGGAAATACCGCTCATGTTTCATCTGCCTGCTCAGATGTTAGCACGCCGCCCAGCTTCCCGATTGGCCGGGAAGCCAGCTCCATGCTAGCGGAAGTACCAGTACTCCGGCGAGTACTGAAAGATAAATATCGGTACTCAGATGGCGAAAAACCGGTATCCATGCATCCCTAGTGTAGACGAAAGTGTACATTAAAGGGAGCTGGCTTTAGAGGCAAGAGGGAGTGCAACTTATTTATTGTGCAACTTACTTACTAGTTTATTGTGCCTAGATGTGGGCTTTAAAGCACACTGTGCTATGTGAATGGCAAAGCAGGGATAGCAGCCAACACCAAAAACAGTTTTAGGTTATATCAGCCTCACTGACGTCAGCAATTGCCTGTAAGTATTAGAGAGGCAAAGCTCTAAAAAGGGACTACAAATCTTTACAACAGACTGTGCCTGGGGTTGGCCTTTGAACTGATTTTAATAAAACATACGCCAGGAGGAATGAACCAAATAAACAATGAGGGGAGGAGAAAGAGGGTGCAGTGTTTCTAGAGTAAGAAGAATGGTAGCTATCAATGCACATGACTGCTGGACTTCTGTTTGCATGCTCATAACTACAGATGCAGAAAAAAAAATAGCAATTTAGTTTACCTGTGAGTGGTTGAGATCTGGGAGTCCTTGTGCTGTAAATCTCTTGGGAAGCTGGCATTTGATAATTACATCTTCCACCTCATGGCCAAGAAGCTTATGGTATATGTACCCAGAAACTGAAGTTTCGTCTACGGCAAAGGTCTTTAATGCACTCTGCATTCTATTTAAGACATAAAATTATTGAACAGTTTTTTTCAACAAGCATAATGAATTTAAAAAACAAGTCTTCATGTGCCGAACCTGCTTCCTTAATCCAAGTTTCTAATTAAAGACAAACTCCAGTTTTACCCAAGGAACAAAAAGCCATGATGGTTGAATTTTTTTTGAGCAAATAAAGACGGACAGGGGTAGGCAACCTTCGAACTCTAGCTGTGGTGAAACTAAAAATCCCATGAGGCACTGCATGACTGACAGCCACAGACATGACTCCTGAGGACAGAGGCATGATGGGTTTGAAGTTTCACCACAACTGAAGTGCCAAGCTTCATGATTAAATTAATCAACATGAAAGTGTATAAATCATAACAATGATAGAACATGAACTACACAGTTTGATGCAATTTGAATACAAGTAAATGTACAGTATGCAAACCCTGACTGATGCACCCCTGCATGTTGGGGCCAATGTTGAAATACAATTCCCTTAATTTAAGGTCTAATTAAAAACCAAATATTACAACAGATTTACCATTCACAAACCATTTTTAAAATTTTTAGAACCATAACACAAAAAACAAAAGAACACCATCTAATTTTCAATACTGATGTGAACTCTAATCAGCTAAGTGCAGGTGCCTAGATGTGTTGAAAATTCCAGTGGGGAAAAAAAAAATGGGCAAACCACTTGAGCTCTAGATCCAGATGGAAAATACACAAGCAGCATGAACATGTGCTTCAGTTATAGGCGTCACAGAAATCACAAACCTGTCAAAAGATGTCGACTTCCATACAAAATCCACTTGAAAATTGTGAGTTACTTCCACTGGTGCTCCAACGCTGCTTCTCAATTCAATGGCAATTTCATCACCATAATCTATACAATTGTGTTAAGTAATTTAACAAAGCCTCTTGCATTGACATTAAAGTAGTCGTCTTACTCATGCCCCCACAGGGACAAAGTGCATGTAGCGCTGTGTTCTGTCTTTCTAGGTGGTCTGGATCCTGCCCTAGCACAGCCCCAACACATTGGTAACAAGAAGAGGAATATTTAATTGCAAGTGACCACACTTGTCTTGGGCAGCAGATGCGCACCATCATTACTCATGCAGGGGGAGCAACAGGATGACGAGAGGAGAACAAGATTTTCAGTGACAGGAGAGGAATGACTGCAAGAGACTAGGTACAGGTGACGGGAGAAAAGAGAATGCAAGTGGGGAGAATAGTGAGACCAAATACTGAGACCAAATACAGGTGGTTGAAATAAGAGGCAAAAGATTAGCTGCAGGAGGTGGGGAAAGAGGTATGACTGAAGGCCAGGGAACTGAATAGAGGTGCTGGGAGAGAAGAGGAGACTGAGTGGGAGGTGGGGGGGAGAGGATTGACAACAGGAGACCCTAGCAGAGGTGCTGTAGCTGCTGGGCTTTGTGGAACCTCCCGTAGGAACACAAAATGGGCTTCATACAGGAGTGGAGCTTAAAGCCAAAAAGATACCCGACACAGTTAAGAGTTTTCCTGCTAAAATGGTTCTGCATATTGTTTCTGAAGTGCAGATTATCATTCTTCCATTGCACCAGAATGTAAGCTCCTTCTGAGACTTCTCAGTTCAAAACACTAGGGCTGCAACTAACGAATATTTTCAAAATCTATTCATTGGATGAATTGTTTTTCAATTAAAATCGGATTAAAAGAAAAAAAAATTACCATCTTTTTTTTAAATACACAAATAGAGGGTTACAAAATTTACTTGAGAATAAAACTGCATGCACATTTTTTTTTGCAATTGCACGGCATTGCGGTACCGCACGTTGCGGGCAATCGCACTGCAGGCGGGAGGCGTGTTTGGGGTGCTACTGAAATTGGCACCGCAACACCTCCCACAACAGAATTAGTCAGGCAGAAACCGGAAATTACTTCATTCCCACCTTTTTAAAATAATTCTATTTTAATAGACATTTTAATTAGTTTCAGGGATTTAAAATATGGATTGAAAAACTCCAAGCCAGTAAAATAAACTAACCAAATTTTTATTTTAAATAGGACACCAAAATTGGACATAAAATATAGATTTAAAAAAAAAAAATTGTCCAGTTTAGAGTCAGCCATGAATATTACCCGTCATGCATAGCGCAATAGTCCTTTTCATATGTAGGTGCACCCAAATTGTGTTTGTTAGTGTGTTCGTGGGGGACTTTTAAACAAATGTTTTGGGTATTTTTTTAGTTTTATTTTACCTCAACTTTTTATTTATTTAATACAATTGTATCACATTGGGGGTTCACAAACAACCTATATATTACATTGGAGGCGACAGGTTCTCTTTAAGGTGACAGACCCCTAGTGTCACCTTTCCACTTCTGTTCTCTGTTTCTGTTGAAATTGGTGCTGGCTGCAGTGGTCTGCATCCCCTCTGCCAACACTGATACACACACATACCACAGCAGGGAGGAGCAGCGAGTTGGTGGATGGGAGGAGCTCTCCTCATCACTGACCACCAGCTGCAGGGGTCTGTGTCTCCTCCAATCCCTGGGGATTGGAGGGGATAGAGTCAATGAAGCACCGGCTCCCAGCTCAGAGTAGAGAACTAGGGAATCCACACCAACTAATCATTGAGACTAGTTGACAAATCTCATTATCAATTATCATTGATTACTTGGTTGCAGCCCTACAAAACACTAAACTACCATTACTAACTAGAGCTCACCTTCCAAGCAGCAAAAAACAGAACACTAGGCCAGACTTAAATTGATAATAATCCCGTGCAGGTCACAAGAATACTTCAGCGGTGACCCTGTAGAACTTTGCTTATCTTTTACTATGGTTTAAAATACATTTTAGTGTCGTAAAAGTGCACTTTGTGATGAGAGAAAACTGACAGCTGTCAATTACCCATTACCAATGCCAGGAGCTTTCAGTCCTGAAGATGATATGCTTTAGAAAAATGTACAAAATTCCTTGAAAATCATAGCAAAAGCCATGATCAGGTAAGGCAAGTGCAGCTTGCTGCTGCTGTCCAATTAAAAATGCATGCACAGAATTCCGGAGGCAAATTACATTTTGGAGATTTGTCTGGGAAAGTCCCTGTCTATACATTGGAGAGATACAATTTCTACCTATTGGAGGTTATATATTTAAAGCTTATTTGTGTTACGAAAGCTTAAAGTGCCTTTACAACTATACCTCGCCTTTTTACAGTCCCAATCCCTAATTATTGTAATATATAAAACTTACTATAACCCAGATACAGAGTGCTTCTTTGTGTGGCTTCCCCGGAATCACACAGCCTCACTACAAATATCTTCCAAATTCTGCATTACATTACCAGCACATACATGCATAGGACCCCATTTCAATTGAAAGACAGTCAAGGTGACAGGCTGCAGACATGCAGTCCCACAGCTGGACTCCACTAACTTCAATGAAAAGCCTATTTACTCACAGGCTGGTTTCACACCTTTGTGTTGTGGTAACAAGTGTGTTACTACAATGCGTGGTACTTTGTGCGGTGTGCAGCAAAGCTAATGATTAATGAAGGGCGTCCGAACGCACAAGCAAAGTACCAGTCAAAGTGCATATACAATGTTTTGATATTAACAGGAAATCTAAACATAGTGAAAGGATACTGTCAGGGACCTTAATTACATGTCCAATCCCTTTCCACAAAGGTGCAAGGTCACCTTTGTAACGCAAACATATTTCATCCCCTTGCATTAAACGCATGTCTGAAAGAAAACAGATTAAGACATTATGAACACTACAAAGAATACATGCAATCAACTCAAATTAGGTGTTCCCCATAATATGTAACATTTGCTGCCTCTTTACAATAAATTTCACCAAGAAAAATACCGTTTTGGCACACCATCGTTTAAAATCAGGTATGCACCTTTAGTGAAAGGCAAGTTGTCCAAAAGTTGTCCAATCGGAGTCCACCAATAAGAGATACAAAGTCTACTTGGAAGTAGAGTTAAGGCATAAGTCAAGGCTAATTTACAGTGCTTCCAGGCTCAAGCTGTACTTTTGTACTGATAAAATAAGTGTTGTACTTGCCGTAAAATCCGTCCATTGACGGACACAAAAATTCAGAAACATTCGGGTCATACTACTGCCTATAGGAGGTTGTGACACTGCCAAACTGAAATTATAAGCCAGCCACCATGTAAACCCTCCTCTACCCAGCATGCCTCAACTTTGCAAGAAAGCAAAACACAAAAGGGTGGACTCAAAGAAAGATTTTACGGTATGTATAAAAATTCTATTTTCTCCATTCATTGATGGGCACAGGAATTCAGAAAAAAAGTCAGGACATCCAAAATAGGTCCAACTAAGGGGTGGGCAATAGCTACTGACAGAACCAAGGTATTGGGAACTATGTGGAACACAACGGTACCTGAAGGTACCAAATTTAAACCACATGACGAGAACCCTAGCAAGACAGACTAACAGATGCTCCAGAAAAGGGCAAAAATGCCTCCGCCAAGGGAATGGAAACTAATTATGGAACACTGAAGCCTGAGCCAGCAAACTACTTTGGGAACAACAGCGCCACCGAAAAAGGAGGGACACAACCTAAAAAAAGAATGGAAAAAAAAAAAAAAAGGAGGAGGACTAAACAATCTGGTATGGTAAACAAATTACTGGGACAAGTCACAGAAAAATAAATCTCAAAAGGCCCAATCAAGGCAAACAATCTTTCAGTGAGAAGTAAACGAAACATGAGCCCTCACACCAAAAAAAAAAGGAGAAAAAACAAACAAAAAAAAAAAACTTACAAGGGTAGGCAGGGATGAAGCTATACGGTAACCCAGACTGGTGCCTGGGATGCTAGAACATGAGACGAATCAGGCCATGTGACCCGTCTCAGGAAAAACTGACAAAACTTCATAGCGCTAAATGCCCAGCAACTCATAAGCTATGTCAAACGCAGACCAGGTCAGAACGCGGAGTGACAGGATACCCGGACAAAGCAGGAACTGTCCTGTTCTGAGGAACCAAATTAAAGTCCCAGATATGAGCACCGACAAACAGCGTCCCTTCAGGCCAGGGGGCATAAAACACCACAGTCACCCCAAAAAAAACAGGAAACTCCTGGTCCAAAGAGCCCATCTGGATGTTTCACCCATAGAAGAGGAGGCTGAAAAGGACAGAGTTATGTGAAGGGAAACCTAGATTTAGAGGGATGTGCTTTGCACCATACAAGCCCTGAAAAGGGCGAAGGAGGGAGAATTTTCCTGATGGATAGGGAAGGGATCAATGCACCACAGGGAGTAGGCTTCTTAAGCAAGGGTTGGAGCTTAAGTCCAGCTAGTCCCTGTAGGGTAACACTACCTAGGACAAGGTCTACTTAAGGTACCAAGGTTTGAAAGACACCGCTAAGTTAAGCGCCACCACAAAAAAAAAAAGGGGGTGATGGGCAGCCGAAGATAACTCAAGACAAGGGCTTTGTCTGAGAGTTACAGAGGGTAAACCAGAGCACCCAAATGTTAAGGCAAACCACTCAAGGCGCATCCAGATGTATAAACAGCTCACCACTTGGAATGCACCTTCATGCAGAAGGCCTACCACAGGAGTTGTCTGATCTTGGATTTTAAAGTAGATTCAAAATGCCTATGTGCACCGATTACTGAAGCAGATGAAGGGGCAGGGTGGGATTCCGCATCCTCCTCCACAGACCTGCTGCATTGTTAGGAAGGACATGGAAAGTTCAAAGAGATTTACCCCATGTGTGGCGCTCAGCAAAGGTGGGTTGAGTGGTGGTATTTGGTGGGTACCCGGTTTGTGACTGGAGCGTGGGGGATTTTTTTGTGTAGAGAGTTTGGAGGAGGGGGGCGAGGGGGTGTGAGTAGGGGGTTTATTTTTGTAGAAAAATAGAAGCGTCTTTATTGCTCTGTGAGTGTGCAGCTTCCGTGGTGTTCGGACCGTGGTGTCCAACAGGTGTACTAAAGGAAACAAAAATTGGAGAACGGAAGCGCCACTACCTGGCGCAATAAATGTGGTGAGGTCTGGAGAGAGGGATATGTGATGTACTCACCTAGGTGGGTAGATCGTTCGCTTTTAGGACGGCCGTGCGATGAAATGAAACAGTTGCGGGAGGCGGTACCTCTTAGGATGGGTGATGTGGTGGTCCAACCAGATAGAGCAGAGGTAAACACAAATAAAGCAAGGTGAGATGAGGTGGGTGAGCAAGAAAAGGAGGAGATTCTGTAACTCACCGCGAGGAAAGTGAAGGCTGGCTCTCAACGACGGTGATGGGCTCCTGTAATGCCTGGGTACAGGGCTGTGGGATGATCCTCTGAATGTGTGCTGGAGTGGCTGTCTTGCTGGATAGCTGCAGGCTCCGACGTTGGGGAGAGACGCGGTGCTGGAGGGTGGGTAGCGCGGCTGCCGGGGTGTTCCGACGTCCCTTGGTGTTGTCACCTGCCTGCTCGAAGGGAGGGTCTGGAGGGGAGGCGGATGCACGCTGGGGCCTCCTAACGGTCCGGCGTGTATGTGTCCAGAGGCTGTCGGCTTCCGATGCCGTTGTTGTGACGTAGAGGGGGCGGAGCCCCAAAAACGAGGGATGTAGGCTCAGTGAGGAGATGGAGTGTTTGGAACACTCAGTGGGTCCTGGGTTCGTGCTGGTGACGCGTTTCGAAGGCTGTGCCTTTTTCAAGCCGAAGTGTCAGAGCTGAACGGGCAGCTCTGACACTTAGCTTGAAAAAGAAGGCACAGAAGGGAAACATCCCTCGTTTTTGGGGCTCCGCCCCCTCCACATCACAACAACGGCATCGGAAGCCGACAGCCTCTGGACACATACACGCCGGACCGTTAGGAGGCCCCAGCGTGCATCCGCCTCCCCTCCAGACCCTCCCTTCGAGCAGGCAGGTGACAACACCAAGGGACGTCGGAACACCCCGGCAGCCGCGCTACCCACCCTCCAGCACCGTGTCTCTCCCCAACGTCGGAGCCTGCAGCTATCCAGCAAGACAGCCACTCCAGCACACACTCAGAGGATCATCCCACAGCCCTGTACCCAGACATTACAGGAGCCAATCACCGTCGTTGAGAGCCAGCCTTCACTTTCCTCGCGGTGAGTTACAGAATCTCCTCCTTTTCTTGCTCACCCACCTCATCTCACCTTGCTTTTTTTGTGTTTACCTCTGCTCTATCTGGTTGGACCACCACATCACCCATCCTAAGAGGGACCGCCTCCGGCAACGGTTTCATTTCATCGCACGGCCGTCCTAAAAAGCGAATAATTTACCCACCTAGGTGAGTACATCACATATCCCTCTCTCCAGACCTCACTACATTTATTGCGCCAGGTAGTGGCGCTTCCGTTTTCCAATTATTGTTAGGAAGGAGCGCACTCCAGCCACCCATGGTATCACTAATGAAGGAGTCAAGAGCAGGTCCAAAGAGGATGTCCGTCAAAGGGTAACCTGATTAGCTGTTTCTTGGATGCTTTGTCAGTGTCCCAAGTACACATCCAGAGGTCCCTGCACATTTGCAAAGACATAGGTCTCATGCAGGACACAAGTTGAAATGCTTGAAACAAGTCATCACAGCTAAAGAACAACAATTTGCTCTAACTGTTCCACGAAACAAAGGCCTATCCCGATGGAGGGGTTAGCTCAGGAAATCTACCCATTCAGAAACTGTTGGAGTAGGTTACAGTTACTGTCAAAACCACGCCAGTTAATGCAAACTAGGATTTTAAAAACAAGTTCAATGGTCTGTCAGTGAAATCCCTAAAAGGTGAGCATGCCATCCAGCCGCAAGGTGGGTCACTGGTGCGTCAGCTATGGTGGGAAATGACCATCGGCCTTTTAAACTCTTTCTCAAAAGGGAAAGGGTTTCGACACTGAAAGGCAGGGCTCAAGAGTGTTTCCAGTTCTCAAGAGAGGAAAGATCCAAATAGTGGATGTATTGGAAAGGTTTTGCAGCTGTAGAAGCTCTAAAATACACAAGGACCAGAACCACAGGTTGATCCTCCAGGTGCAGGGTAGTACGCACTGCAAATGCAAGGTGTCAAACAACCCCTATAAATCTGAGTCAGCTGCAGGTGAGGACAGTGACGGAGAGTCAACAGGGGTAGACTGCTGCGACTCTGAATCAGACAGTGACAAGGGCCACAGAGCCAACCTAAGCTAGGGGTTCAGGATGTTTAGAGCCAGACAATGCAGGGGATAGTGTCAGATTGCACTTAAAACCATTGCAGGCAAAATGCCCCAGTATCAAAGCAAATAGGAAGTCTAAAGTGGCCATGGAGAGATCTACTGATATTAGGGAGGCCTCAGCCACACTTAACGGCCAACTAAGCATTAGAACTATCAGAAAGTCAGCCTAGTTCAGCCTTAAAAAGTGTACATTTTCTGCCATTTGTGCACCAAAGGCAACATATGCCCTGCATTTTCAGCAAATGCTGAAGTGATGTTAATGGGCAACAGCAAATGTCTATGGCAATACAAAAGAAATATTAAATACAAGCTATAGATCCTTGAAATCATGCTGTAAAAATAATGTAAATTAACACATTCTGCTTGGATATAAGTTTCTTTATTTTACCTAATCAATCTTTTGCATGACTTCACAATCTCACACAATACCCACCCAAGAAAATATAAATTCAAACAATTACCAGAATCCGTTTTTGGCAAAGTGAAATATGCAATTCTTTTCTTGTTAAGGCCAAGGTCCCATCGGACTGTAATGTTATCTTGCGTCTGAGGATTTAAGAACAGGTTAAAATTTCCTCACAGTAAGGCAATAACCTAAAATTTGCCCATCCAATTTTAGCCAATCTTGTACATTCATATTATGCACACCAAATTTCAAAAAGTGTTTGAAAGTGTTTTCAACACTTCAGACATAATACGACACAGTTAGTGCTTGCCTAAACTGCACAGAGAGTACAAAATTATATACAGTATTGACTTTTCCCGATACCGTACATGGCAGCATACAATGGGTATGGCTCCGCCCCCAAGGCCACACCCAATCACAGGACCAGTTATACTATAAATTAAAGCCCGCCTCCCAAGGCCCCTTTTTTCTGTCCTCACTGCTCAAGCAGGTTATACTAAGAATAGGTTGGAGTTTTTGCCCTCACCTTGCTGGTTTCCTCTGGCCTGCCGCACAGGTTCAGCCTCTCCTGTTGCGAAGTTCCCTTTGTTCAGGTGGCTAAATGCAGTCTTATAAAGGGAAGCCTCTCCCATAGCCTTGGAGTTGGGGTGCAGGAAATGGTCTCTTCATGTTCGGATGCTTCCTCCATCATGGCGGCGGGTTGAACACTAGCTTAGCCTCCTGGCCTTGTGACTTCAGAGAAGAACCGTGACTCAGCTGCATCATCACAAACTATGGTTGTACTTGGATGATCACATGCATGGACAAGCTGACAAGTAGGATCCACTCCATTTTCTTTCAATGAGTTTTAGAAACACATGTGCTACCGTTTCCTGTGGCCTTGCAGTGCTGCCCTGCTCTGGCTGAATCTTTCTGAATATCTGTTATGTCTGTAGAGCCATTCAGTTTTCCATGTATGCTTAAACCTCACAGGTGCATTACAGGGAAGTATGTGATTCTGTGGAGCCGCTATGCCTTAGCTGAATCTTGCAGGTATTTGCCTAAAACATCCATTAGCTTGCTTGTGGTGCTTTACCCTGCAGGTGCTTGCTGAGTGCAGGCTGCTGCCATGTGCTCTGCTGCTAAAGCTTAACTAGATCTTACAGAAATGTGTTTGCTAACTCTGCCAGCTTCAATCTTGAGCCTTAACCCTTTGGGTGCCTTTCATGTGAGTATTTTGCTGTCGCCTGTGGTTCCCCAAGCATTATTAATGTTTAAATGTAACTTATGGTATTGTTGCTTCTTGCAGGCCTATCCTGCCTGTAATTCAGTAATCTTTTCATGGTCCTATGTATACAGCATTGTGTTAGTGACGAGAGCTTGTGGTGCTATAACTCTGAGCACATGAGTATGTGGCTTCCAGGTTTTCAGCATGGCTGTTAGTGTCTAGCAGGTTCTGACAGGTGCTGTTAATCACATCATTATCCTCAGTTTCATCTGTGTTTTGTAAGGTTGGATCATGTGTCAATTACCTAACCTCATTCCCCAAGAGACCAGCTACATTCTATAAGGTGAGGGTCAGGTATGTATGAAGATAAAATAAAAAAGAGCGCGCAATGCATGGGCATGATGAATTGTACGTTTATTAGCCCTATTGACTGGACTGTTCCTCAGAGTGCATATGCAGGGGTTAATGGATTGTAAATCTCTCCAGCCCTTTGCCATCACTGCTCCTCACAGTGCAAATGCATGAACTTCTGGATTATAACTCCACCAGTACTGCTCCCCAAAGACAGAGTAAGCTGCTCAATTTGGGATGAAAGGTCCACTTCAAGCTGTGATACAGCTGCTAAACATGCAGCATCCTGCATCCAGCTAGTGGATTGCAGCACAAGAATTGTACAACCTTTCAGCAGTACTTGGCCTACAATCACCTGGCAGGATGCTGTGCCAGGTTTACCCTGCAGGGGCAGCAGTGAATAAACAGGAGAAGGATGGAGGTCTGAAGCCTTCCACAGTGGTGTTGTACTTTATGATATTGTATTCACATTCCTCCACACCTGTACTTCATCGAATGTCTTGCTCACCATTCTAAAGTTCCACTTATATTTTGGTTTGTTACTTGCCCTTTGGCCTTGCTACAATCCTAGGTCATTTTCCAAATATTACATCTAGTCACATCCTTCTTGAGTGAACAAGCATTCAAGCTATTACAGCGACATTCTGCTGATAGTTCAGCATGCTCTTACTTTGGCAGTCCATGAAACCATCCTAAGTTATGCTCAGATCAAATTCGAAGCGATCGCCAAGGGGGAAAGCCAAAGTGGTCTAGTGCTTGCTGAGGCAGACTATACCTCTATCCTCCCCTTGGCATCCCAAGTTGACAGGACAACTCCTTGGTGTCTCAAGTTGCCAGAATCAATTCAACTGGTGACATTGGACTTATTGGCCGCTAAGTCTTTCAACAGGGTTCTTCAGACAAGAGAAAACGTTCCCTGTGGCTTTGGTTCTGGATGATTCCAAATATGAGATTCTTAGTTGTGACTGAAAGCGGCAAGTCTATTTCAGCTGTTAGTATTGGGCTGCAACCACCTTCTTGCAACTATTTCACAGGCAAGGGAGTCCTAAATCTCTCTCTCTCACAGCATCTTCCGAAGGTCGGAAGATCCTTCCCTCTAAATAGTACATCCATGTTGCCAGTGTTCCAGGATAAAGTTTTTATTTCAGCTTCTGCTATGCTGGGGAAGAGCATGGAGGTTATTCAGGTCGATCTGTTCATCTTTCTGGTGGTTTTGGTAAGTGGCACTCTGTGTGCACTAGATCACATGCATTGTGCCTGGTCAAGCATATGGAGCCACAGATCAATCTCTGGGTTCGCTATTCCGCAGACTGTCATCCCTACGGATTGAATTAAGTGATGTACCTCCAGAGTTATTCTGGAAGGCAGTGACCTGCAATATGTTCCTGTTCCATTACAGGGTATATCCAGGAGTAAGATCCATGGGGAAGTTGGTTCTGAATGTGGTACAAATAATTTATTATCTCAGAATTACCCTCCCTGTTTGTGTGATCACTATATCCCATTGTATGCTGCCATGTACGGTATCAGGAAAAACGGAAAATTGTATACTTACCTATCGGTAATTTTCCTTTCCTGATGCCAGTACATGGCAGCATACAGGACCCTCCCATGGCTTTCGCATTGAGTACTTGTTACGAGAATGGTGGCCTTGGGAGGCGGGCTTTAATTTATAGTATAACTGGTACTGTGATTGGGCTGGGGGCGGAGCCATACCCATTATATGCTGCCATGTACTGACATCAGGAAAGGAAAATTACCGATAGGCAAGTATACAATTTTCCGTTTTCTTGACTTGCATCTAAGTACCCAAGAGCAAACGGAGGAAGTGATATTTACATTGTGTTAGTTGACATGCATTCATGAGAAACCTGTTCTATTGGCAAAGGATAAATTAGATAACATGGTTTAAGCAGCCTACTGGAAAGCCCCCTTGGGATGAATGACATAAAATGTTGCCTTAAGTGCCCTTTTTAGGCAAAAAAACTAAATTTTTGCTGCTATGTGGTAAAGGGGGCTGCTAAGTTAAGGTTTACCATAATTAACCCTGTCTGTATGGTGCTGGCAGATATCATCTGTAAACCAGATCTGATCACTATCGTAAGGGTTATTGTTCTCATGTTAATGAGGACAGTCTGCCCCCACTGTTTCCCCGTCACTTTCAAATAGTTAATAGCTGGCAGTCTGCCCAGAAGGCAAGAAATCATTTTTTACATTATTTTAGGTATGCGAGTGGGAACACAAATATAGTGGAGTTTTGTTAAATTTGACTGCAAACTTTGAAATACTCTTTCAAACTACTTACCTGGGACTCCTTTAGCTTTTTGTCATAATCAGCCTCAAGTTTTACAAGAGGTCCAAATATATTTTGGTACTGATATGCATCCTCATATCTAAGCAAAACATGCTGAGGCTCCTCATCAACACCGGGTTTTTCCAGATCCTCTAGGGTTGCAGAAGGGTTTTCCTTAACGAGGAAAAAAAAAAAAAAGAGTTAACACATTAAGAACAGAAAAGTATCCAATGTGGGAAAACAAATGTTTTGGAAGCCTTGTACCTCCTATGTAAAACACATGCAGGAGATATGCATTAGAAGGTAGACCTCACTTCCAATACTATGATACACAAACTATTTAGGCGTTTAACAATTTTTTTTTACAGTTCAGATAAGGGTAACTCTTCCATACCCAAATCAAGAAACCAGCTGCCCTGGAGCAGCAACAGGATGCAAGAAAATCTCTCCAAAATGCATGGAATTCTTATTTTCCAGAGCTCTTGGAATAGGTGTCCCCATTCAAGGATTTTCCCTTAACTATTCTTACGACAACTCAATTTTTTTGATTTTCCCTCAATTTCTGTCCCCATGACTAAGACAAAATAGAGGGGAGAGTCTCCAGTGGGGACAAAACCAGTAATAAAAGTTGCGAAAGGGCCCAACCCTTCCCCACTCTATCCAACGCTTAAAAAAAAAATTTACACACAGCTATGGAGTGGCCAGCACCAAGAAAGAAAAGGTAAGGGGCTAATTAAAGCTATAGACGTGAACTCCAAGTATGAGTGAAACAACTGCATTCAGCAAATTTATTGTGTTATTGTGCTAAGGCAAGGGCTAAGTGAAAACATTAAGAGAATGTGTGTCAACACTGCTAACATGTTTATAAACATTCTAGTCCCCAGACTGTTATGCTGACCCACTGCCTTTACTTCTATGAGTCACTGCATCAGAACAAATAAGCAAATCAACTTTTCTAACTTCCTTTGACTTGACAGGCTGCATATCTATTCCAAGTCAATGACAAAGTATGGAAGCCCCTGGATCAGTATGACAGCTAGAATTCTCAGAAAGATAGGTCCGCAATGGCATCTCATGCTTCTTAGAACAAATTCCTGTAAAACATTTTAACCAACACCTTTTTTCTGAACCAATCCATTAAAAAAGGTTAAATATAAACAAGCATACAATTAACATGAAAGAAAACCCAGGCCCCACTCCCAAGAAGCGTAACAGCACAGTTCCAGTACATTCCGGGAAGCAATGTCTTGTGTTAGGATACCAACACCCTTGACCTGTGCACCTTCTATGAAGCCATTTCAGACACAAGCTTGCTCCACTGGTGAGATAGAAGAAAGTTGTACATTTGCACCCAAGGTTATTAAATGTTTGATTTGAATAGTAGTGACAAATGTTGTCAACTGTACGAAGAAACATCTGTGTACTCAACAGTATTATTCTTAATCATATCATCCAGGAAGGGAATCCCCTTGATCTGCAAGATGGGGGGGGGG